TACTTTCCACCATCAAAGGCGATGAAGAGGCCGAAGGACATTGTACATTTTGAGCAAATTGATGGTGAGAGCCTAAGTGAAGCTTGGGAGCGTTACAAAGAGCTACTTCTTAAATGCCCAAGTCATGGCCTAAAAGAATGGAGAGTTATCTCCATCTTCTTTGATGGGATAAAGAGAGTATTTAGAGAAGCATTGAACCATGCATCTGGTGGAGGATTTACACCCATGGAGCACGGAGCTGCCTATGACCTTGTTGAAAGAATATGCCTAAATGAAGATGAGTGGGGTGGAGAGAAGAGTTCTCGAAGGAGAGGAGGTATCCATGAAGTAGACAAGTTTACCGGCTTGGAAGCTCGACTAGAAGCCAAGTTGGATTCAATGTTTGAACTTTTTGAGAAGAAGTGTATGTTGGGAGCTACTCAATCAAGAGAGGTTAACTGTATGAGCAACCAAAGAAATCAAGGTGGTGCATACTCCAACACCTACAATTCTGAATGGCGCGACCATCCCAACTTCTCATGGTCCAACAACAATGTTGGAGCCCGAAGCAACAATGCACCTCCTAGATTTCAACCTCAAGAACCTCTAGAAGAGAAGAAGCCCGCGTTCGAAGAGCTCGTATTTTCACACATGAGGAAGATGGAGAACAACATGAAGGGACTAGATGAATTTGTTGCTCACACCACCAATCAACTTGAAGAACAAAAGGTGATCAACAACACTATGCAAACATCTATACTTATAATGGGGGAGCAAATGACTCAAATGACTCAAATTCTAGCAAATATTCAAGATTGTATGTAGGGAACTTCCCAAAGCAATATCGAGAGGAAGACAAAGGATGTATGTTCCATAACATTGAAGAGAGGAAAAGAGCTAAAGGAGACAATCCCAAAGATCCAAAATTCATCAAAAGCCAAGGAAGGTGCTGAAAATTCTGTTGCAGAAAATTTAGAGACTGATGTGCAGGGTCAAAATGCAGGCACTTTGACACTGCACATGCATTCGTCAACTGCACCTCCAAAACATGAAAAATTCAAAGATGAAGGAGTCAAGCCTTATGAACCCCCTGCACCTTTCCCTCAAAGGTTGATGAAGCCCCAAGATGATCCAAATTACAAGAAATTCCTCAACCTCTTCAGACAACTCCATATCAACATGCCATTGGCCGAGGCGTTGGAGCAAATGCCTACTTATGCAAAGATCTTGAAGGAGTTGCTTATTAATAAGCGTAAGTGGGCTGACATTGAGAAGGTAACCCTTAACTCTGAATGTAATGTTGTGATTCAAAATAAAGTTTCAGATAAAAGGGATGATCCATGGAGTTTCACTATCCCTTGTATTATTGGTGGCAAAGAATTTGATCATTCGCTTTGTGATCTTGGAGCGGCGGTCAACGTGATGCCTTTTTTAGTCTACAAAAAGTTGGGATTGAAGAGTTCTTTAAAGCCTACTCATATCACTATTTGGTTAGCTGATCGTTCCATGAAGGTACCAAATGGAATAATAGAGAATGTATTGGTCAAGGTGGGGAAATTCATATTTCCGGTAGACTTTGTTGTCTTAGAGATGGAGGAAGACCAAGATGTTCCTCTCATTTTTGGGAGACCATTTTTAGCCACTGGAGATGCACTCATTGATGTAAGGAGAGGTAAATTGACCTTCATAGTAGGTAAAGAGGAGGTAATTTTCAATGTCTTTCAATTTAATCATAATCATGTGTATTTTGATACCTCCGAAAGTAATGTCCGAGAAAGGAAAAGTACATCTTCCACTAACAAGGCTACACAAGAATTTCCTAAGTTGCAGATTGAAGAATTGGGAGAGGTACTATACATGAAGGGGAATGACACTGAGCAAGTGAAAAAGCCATCACAAAAACTATCATCCTAGGTGGACAAATCAAAGCAAGGGCATGAATCTCTACCAGATTATCTAAAGCCAAAATATTTGGGTAAGGATTTTGATCTTATTGTTGCTATTCCTTCTTCACTAACATTTAAGCAAGAAGAGTACTTGCTTGAGGCACTTCAACATCACCTACGCCTCATCGGTGGACCAAACAAGCATGCTAGAAAGGTTAGCCCCAATTTTCGTACCCCTGGCTCAGCCGAGGTAGCTCAAATGTTAGATGGTGGTTATGCATTCTATCATTTTTCTGATGGGTATTATGGATATCTCTCAGTTCCAATGGGTTGAAAGTGGCATAAACGTCGAGAATTTCCACTAACAAGAAAGGAAAAGTACATCTTCCACTAACAAAGCTACACAAGAATTTCCTAAGTTGCAGATTGAAGAATTGGGAGAGGTACTATACATGAAGGGGAATAACACTGAGCAAGTGAAAAAGCCATCACAAAAACTATCATCCTAGGTGGACAAATCAAAGCAAGGGCATGAATCTCTACCGGATTATCTAAAGACAAAATATTTGGGTAAGGATTTTGATCTTCTTGTTGCTATTCCTTCTTCACTAACATTTAAGCAAGACGAGTACTTGTTTGAGTCACTTCAACATCACCTACGCCTCATCGGTGGACCAAAGAAGCATGCTAGAAAGGTTACCCCCAATTTTCGTACCCCTGGCCCAGTCGAGGTAGCTCAAATGTTAGATGGTGGTTATGCATTCTATCAGTTTTGGTGGGTATTATGGATATCTCTCAGTTCCAATGGGTTGAAAGTGACATAAATGTCGAGCTAATGACGTTAAACAAGCGCTTCTTGGGAGGCAACCCGAGGGTTTTTTTTCTTGCAATTGTTTTTCATAATTTCACTTTTAGGACGTTTGAAGGATCTCCATAAAATTTGAGCTCAAAATTCGTTGAGGAAGGTGTTTTCCAATTTTACAGGTGCATTGGCAGAATGTTTGGTGAAAATGTGCAGTAGAGAAATGCTTTTTGCAGTGGAGAAATGCAGTATGGAGTGGAAGGCAGCACTGATGGACTTGAAGGGCTAAAACGCAATCAGAAAGAAAAGGAGGAGTCATAAAACACTTTATTTCCTTTATTTATAAAAAAACAAAAAAAAAAATATAAAAAAATTAATACAAAAAAGAGAGTAGGAGCATCGAGTTTCTCACCCTAAAACCCTCCATTTTTTCCCTTTCTTTTCTTCTTGGTTCTTCTACTTCTTTCTACAAAAAGAATTTTTTTTCCAAACTCACAACCTCTAGCGACATCATTCTACAATCCACTTCATCAAATCCAACAAATTTCTCTATGCATTTCCCTTCCTCACTTGAGTTTTAAATCTCAAATATGTCACAAGAACTCATCAATATTCAAGCTGAGCTTCCTCACCAACCAACACTTAAGTCGGTCTATCCTCGTCGGGGTACTTCATCCCCCACCACTGCTCACCTCGCCCATTTACAACTTGTCCCAAGGTTTTTCTTCTTTACCTTTATTTACTTTTTTTTATGTGTTTGCATGTTTAGAAACTAGTTTTTAACATTAGGGACAATGTTCCATCCTAAGTGTGGGGTGGAGAGTTTTAGTTTATTTTTTAGTATGTATTGTATATAATGTTTGGTGAATGTGAGTTGTTCCCACTTTGTTTGATGTGTTGTGTCTAGAACTTGATAGGGTATAATGTCGTTGCTTGAAATGATTGTGTGAATGGTTTGTGAACTTATTATACTTCGGTGTATGCATTTGCCTTTCGGTTATCCCAAGTTAACCTTGAAATGCATTACTTGTGCTTGCAAGTAGGATTGCCTGTTTCACATGATGTACCTTCATATTAAAATTCACCCACTAGAATTGAATTGTGCCCGAACTTAGGTGAAATTGAGTATAATCTGTATATAGTAGGGTATGACATCTAGTAGCCGTGAGTGTGAACCTTCAAAGTCAGTTTCATATTGTGTGAAGTTTTTCATTGCTTTGTGTCTCGGTAATCTTGATCAAAGCCACGCATGGACTATGTTGTATATATGCAAGCATAAACGATAGAGACAATCAGTGCAACTCGAGCCAAAAATCCTACCCTATCATTGACAACTAGGATCAACCCCTTTGAGACTTTGCCTTGTTTTTCGGCTCGATCACACCTTCACCTTTACCCCTTTCTTCTATTCCCCACTGAACCCTTCTCACGAGGAATGAGGTCTTTTGTATGATCATAGTGACCCTTTTTCATTTTCGTGGTTTTGTAAATAAAGTTGATGTACTAAGGTAGTAGTTGAAGCTATAGTTGAGAGATGCATTTTGCCACTACAATCTGCAGTTTGACACTGCATAGGCATTCGGCCAATGCACCTTATATTGCATCATTTTGTATTCTATTACTTATAAAAAAGGTATTGATCATCAATGTAGTGTCTTTTAGTCTTCATCCACAATAAAAAAAGAAATCAGCTTAAAAAATAATAAAAAGAAAAAGAAAAAGAGAAAGTGAAAGTGAAAGGGAAAAAGGGGGACGAATAAATAAAGATCGATGAATCATCTTTGGGAATCAATGTTCTTCCCTTGTTGTATATTTTTAGTTGCTTATGTTATGCATTTTTCATTTGTTCAAGGCCTCGATATTAGATAGTTCTTGATTTGGGTCCACCTTTGTAGCTCATTCCTCGTGAGGATCACCATTTCCCTCCTCTGAAACCTCACATTAACCCTTAGCCTTACACATATTACCCGAACATTGTCATCTTGATATGCTTGTGTTTGTACTGATCGGTCCAATAGTTGTTGAAGAACAAGATTTAGATAAGCACTAGTAATGAAAACTTGAGTGTAAACACCAACCTTTAAACACTTGTGTGATTGAGCGAAATACACATTTCTAGTGATGAAATCTAGATGTCATGCTTTTACTCTTAACTTCCCTTAACCTTTGTTTAAATGAGTTTTGGCACAATCCACTATTAGTTGTGTTTATTCTTTGTGTAGGGTACATCATGTGATAGACTGTAATCTAACTTGCAAGCCTAAGTATGCATGGAACTGTGGAATTTGACGATAGTGTATATACATAGATGTCTACACCAAAGCATAGTAGGTCCACGCTAGTCACACCGTTACTCAAGCAACAATGTTATTAGTCGAGTCTTAGGAGTAGTGTGTCTTTTATTTGAGTCCTAGGAGTCTTAGTTGTATGTTTATTTGCTTCTCTTTCAATCATTTTTCTGTAATGCTTAGGGACAAGCAAATGCTAACTGTGGGGTTGTGATAAACTTCATAAACATACATGTATTATGTGCATAAATGATTGATCCTTATGTATGTATGTATGTATGTATGTATGTATGTATGTATGTATGTATGTGTGTGTTTAAATTGCTCTAAATTAGTTCATATTGACCATGGAGTGACCCTAATGTCATTACCAAGACATGTAGCGATACAACGCAGATTGAAGCTAAGATTGTGAACAAAACAAAGTGCAGTGGACGAATGTAGGTGTGGTGGCAAAGTGCAGACGTGCAGTGGCAAACGTCCAGCGGGACGCCAAACCAATAAAGACCCAAATTGAATTATTGTTGTTTGGAATCTTCACTCAACCGTCAGCAGCCTCAGAAATCATTGGAATTGGATCAATTTTCTTGAAGTGAGCAAATGTATTTGGTGGCTCACCAATTGATAAAAGATGCAGAAAAATAAATGCAAGGAGAGAGACTTAAGCTGGCAGCAACCTTCTCTTGGAAATGGGATCTGCAATTGCCTTGTTTTGTGAGATTAAGTCTGCAGAAAAAAGGGGGCAGCAACTAGGGAGCTTAGTATAGGGGTGGGCAACGGGACGGCACGGGATACCCGTCCCGTTTTAAACGGGTACCCAGTCCCATTTGGAGGCCAAAGTCCATCCCATATCCCAAACCCATATGGGAAACGGGTACCCATTACCCGTACGGGACGGATAACGGGTACCCATACTACCCATAAATACCCAATGTTTAAACCACTCAAATTTTAACAAAAGTTTAAACTTAACTTGTACTTGCTTAACAATCACAAGACACAAATCATGAACAATCACAACGCATAGAAAAAATCATTCTAAGCACCAAATTATCAAATAAGAAGTTTCATTCAACACAAATCATGAACAATCACAACACATAGAAATAAATCATTCTAAGCACCAAATTATCAAATAAGAAGTTTAATTTAACAAAAGGGAGTCTACAAGTATTATGTTCACATAGCGTTCTTTGTTTCTTTACTAAGAAAAGTTTCATCTTTGTGGCGAAGTGGACATTCCCTTTCTATGGATTAGAGTTCGCAAATGGGTAAAACGGGTACCCACATTACCCAAACGGGTATTTGCGGGTAACCCGCGGGTACCCATATTAGGAATGTACAATCCCAAGTCCCATCCGTTCATAATATTACGGGTAATATGGGTACCCGTAACCCTTAAAAAACGGGACGGGTACGGGTATACCCAAATACCCGTTTCCCGTTGCCCACCCCTAGCTTAGTAGACACTTTTTGGAGAGAAAAATCAAAGGAGAGAGCTCACTATGGCACACTTTGGAGTTGAGCATTTTGAAGAAAGGAAGACTCTTGTAAGTTGGGGGTTAACTTCAACACTTAGTACTTTCTCTACATCTTTGTTTTGGTAATTAGTTATGATGTTAAACATTAGCATGTTTATGTTCTTTCTTTTCATCATGAACTAATCCCCCAATTTCTGGGGAAACTTATGGATTTCATTATCTAGCCTCGATGTTTTAACCGTGACTTTACATGCACTTTACATGCATGATGTATGTGATGTGGTCATGTAATAGGCTTTTCATGGGTACCAGAAAGACGTAATGATGAGGTCATCAAATCCAAGTCCAATTCATCACACGAAGGTCCAATTACTCGTCTACAAGCCAAGAGATTAAGAGAGGAATTTGCTGCTTATTTGGATCGACATTATGCTCAATTGGACATGGACCAACATCATGGGAAGCCCATTATACTTCTACAATTCGTGGACCAGCATGGAGGCAACTTGGGCTTCAAGGAAGGTGGATATGAAGGCTAGATTTTAAGGAGTTGTTGACTTGGTCTTTTCCTTGTCTATTAAGGATTGTGTTTTCCTTTTACTTTTCCTTTAAGGTTTTGTTTTCCTTTTAATTGTAGGATTTGGTTATTTGTTTGCTTTCTTTCTTAGTTTAAGATTGGATTTTCGTTGCCTATATAAGGAGGATGCGTCCCTCATTGTAATTCATTCTATTATCAATCAACTTTCAAGTTTCAAGTTCAAACGAACTGGTTCTTTGTGCAAGCTTCTGTCGAGAGTGCTCCAGAGGTTTCACGTGTCTCTTATCAACTAGAGAACGCGTCTAGTTGTGGCGAGCTTCTACCCTATATCAATTACCCCTTTCCACGAGTTGGTGTTGTCCGATTGGTTTAATATACCAATTGCCCTTCATCACGAGTTAGGAATTGTCCGATTGATTCCGCATCTATCTTTATTTTTCGAGTTCAAGAAAGGCGACATCAGAAAATCATAAAAATATCGTTGAAGCTGCGTACTTTGATCACATCAAGTGGTATCAAGAGCCCGGTTCAAACACAGCGGAGAAGAAGACGGTTCTTGGGAATCTTGACGTGTTCTTGAAGCAATCTTGGCGAATTCTTGTGGGCTTTCAGCGCAAGAAACACTACCTTGTGCCACAAGAATGGATGATCCAATGAAGGCAATGATGGATCAATTGGCGGAAATTCAGCGAACTCTAGCGGCCAACGCTGCCGACGTTAATGCACGATTCGCCATAGTCGAAGCAAGGCTAGCCGCGCCTCAAGCTCCTGCACAAGAAGCATCACCAAACCCTAATGCCGAGAGGCCTAGGCGAGAAGATGAAGAGCGAGGAGAAAGGAGGATTGTTCCGCAACCCATGGCCGAACAATTGAGGCGCCATCGTCCTTTGGGGATGCCGCGAGCAAGGAGAGGGAATCCTCGAGTGCAAGACGAAGAAGGCGAGTATGACGACGATGATGCCAACCTTAGAGAAGTTGAAGACGAATTGAGAAATGTGAGGGTCACTATTCCATCATTCAGAGGTGCTACCGATCCCGAAGCTTATCTTGATTGGGAAAGAAAAATGGAGATGATTTTCGACTATCACAACTATTCCGAGAGGAAGAAAGTTCAAATGGCTGCAATGGAATTCACGGATTATGCTATCATCTGGTGGGATCAAATCTGTACGAGAAGAAGGAGGGATAGGCAACGCCCTATTGAGACATGGGAAGAGATGAGGAGCATCATGCGGGATAAATTCGTCCCTAGCTACCATCGTAGGGAGATGTATCAAGCCCTGCAAACCTTACGACAAGGTACAAAAAGTGTAGAGGATTACTACAAGGAGATGGAGATGATGATGATTAGAGCTGACCTCGTAGAGGAGAATGAAGCCACCATAGCACGATTCCTACACGGTCTCAATCGAGAAATCAGGAATGTGGTGGAAATTCAACCATTTAGAGAGTTATACGATTTGGTTGCAATGGCGGCCAAAGTTGAGAAGCAACAATGTAGTAACCTTGGAAGAAGGTTCACACCTTCCTCTAGCGCACCAAGGCCAGGAGTGCCTTCGACTTCAAACCCTAAGCCAGCCATTTCAAAACCAGAAGCACCAAAACTGGCAGCCAAGGTTGAAGCACCAAGAGAGAGACCCACAAGCTCTAGTGGAGGAATTCAATGCTTCAAGTGCCATGGAAGAGGAAATATGGCCAACCAATGTCCTAACAAGAGAGCTCTAGTCATGTTGGAGAATGGAGAGTATGTCTCGGATTCTGAGGAAGAAAAGGAGGCTAATTCAGATTTTGATGTGGACGAGAAGATAGAGATGGAGGAGGCACCACCGGGAGAGCTTTTCGTAGCTAGAAGAATTCTAAGTGTGCAACCCAAAGAGGAGCTTGAACAAAGAGAGAATCTGTTCCATACAAGGTGCACGGTGGATGGGAAATTACTCTCGTTGGTAATTGATGGTGGAAGCTGCACTAATGTCATTAGTGTCTATTCGGTTAAGAAGTTGGGATTAAACACTTTGAAGCATCCCAAGCCATATACACTTCAATGGCTCAATGATCATGGCGCCATCAAAGTAACAAAGCAAGCTCTCTTGAAGTTTTCGATTGGAAGGTATGAAGATGAGATCTTATGTGATGTTGTGCCTATGCAAGCGGCGCATGTCTTATTTGGGAGGCCATGGCAATTTGATCGAAAGGCACATCAAGATGGAGTTACTAATAAGTACGAGCTAGTACATGGCGGGAAGAAATTCGTGTTGAAACCCCTATCTCCCAAGGAAGTTTATGAAGATCAACTCCAAATGCAACGAAAGTGGGCGAAGGAGAAGGAGCAGGAATCCCAAGTTACGGACAAGAGTGTTCATGGGGGGACTAGTGCCGTGGAGACCAAGTCATTGATGATAGCACGAAGTGGAGACGTGAAGCAAGCAGTAAATGATCATGAAACAATGATTATGATAATCTATAAGGGCGTGCTACTCAATCAAGAGCTTATTCCAGAGATACCACCTAGGGCACGAGTGGTATTAGAAGAATTTCAAGATGTCTTTCCCGAGGAAGCTCCAAAAGGCCTACCTCCAATCCGTGGGATAGAGCATCAAATTGATTTTGTTCCTGGAGCTACAATCCCAAATAAGGCGGCTTATAGGACGAATCCAGAGGAGACGAAGGAGTTGCAGAGGCAGATTGATGAGCTTATGGAGAAAGGACATGTTCGAGAGAGCATGAGTCCCTGTGCAGTTCCTGTTATCCTCGTGCCCAAGAAGGACCATACGTGGAGAATGTGTGTTGATTGCCGAGCAGTCAACCAAATAACAGTCAAGTATCGTCATCCTATACCTCGATTAGATGATATGCTTGACGAGTTGCATGGTTCTAGTTTGTTTTCAAAGATTGATCTGAGGTCGGGATATCACCAAATCCGAATGAAGGAAGGAGATGAATGGAAGACTGCCTTCAAGACGAAGCATGGCTTATACGAGTGGATGGTGATGCCCTTTGGTCTTACTAATGCACCAAGCACATTCATGAGGTTGATGAACCACGTGTTAAGAGCTTTTATTGGAAAGTTCGTGGTTGTCTACTTCGATGACATTCTGATCTATTCGAAGAACATGGAGGAACATCTTGAGCATTTGCGAGAAGTGTTGAAGACTTTGAGGAAGGAGCAGCTCTATGCCAATCTGAAGAAGTGCACATTCTGTACCTCGAGGGTGGTATTTTTGGGATTCATAGTAAGTGCGAATGGTGTTGAGGTCGATGAAGAGAAGGTGAAGGCGATTCAAGCATGGCCTACCCCGACGAACGTGAATGAAGTGAGGAGCTTTCATGGGTTGGCTGGTTTCTATCGACGATTTGTTCCAAATTTCAGCACCATTGCTGCCCCATTGACATCTATTATCAAGAAGAATGTGGCATTTTATTGGGGAGAAGATCAAGAGAAGGCATTCGAACTACTCAAGTACAAACTCACTCATGCTCCTGTTCTGATGCTACCTGATTTTGACAAAACGTTTGAAGTGGAGTGTGATGCATCAGGATTGGGAATTGGAGCCGTGTTGATGCAAGAGAAGAAGCCTATTGTCTACTTTAGCGAAAAGTTGAGTGGGGCTATGCTTAACTATCCCACTTATGATAAGGAGCTCTATGCATTGGTTCGAGCCCTCGAGACATGGCAGCACTACTTGTGGCCAAAAGAGTTCGTGATTCATACCGATCATGAGTCTCTTAAGTATTTGAAGGCCCAACACAAGTTGAACAAGAGGCATGCTCGTTGGGTGGAGTTCATTGAGTCGTTTCCCTATGTAATCAAGTATAAACAAGGCAAGGAGAATGTGGTTGCTGATGCATTGTCAAGGAGATACACGTTGATCACTACTATGGACGCTAAGTACCTTGGATTCGAGCAAATCAAGGGTGCTTATGATGGGGATTTCGACTTTGGAGAGACTTATAAGGCTTGTGAGAAGCATGGAGAAGGAAAATTCTACAGAAGTAATGGTTATCTCTTTCGTGGTAATCAATTGTGCATACCTAGAGCATCACTTCGAGAGCTTTTGTTGAAGGAAGCTCATGGAGGAGGATTGATGGCTCACTTTGGTGTAGCCAAAACATTGAGTTGTTTGCAAGAGCACTTCTATTGGCCTCACATGAAAGGAGATGTGGAGAATTTATGTGCAAGATGTGTGGAGTGCCAGCATGCTAAATCAAAGATGCAACCATCTGGGTTGTACACACCACTACCTATTCCTTATGCACCATGGGTCGACATTTCAATGGATTTCGTGCTAGGATTGCCGAGGACAAGAAGAGGTAGGGATTCAATTTTTGTGGTGGTGGATCGTTTCTCGAAGATGGCACATTTCATTCCATGCCATAAGACGGATGATGCAAACAATGTGGCTGATTTGTTCTTCAAGGAGATCGTGAGATTGCATGGAATGCCACGTACCATTGTGTCCGATCGAGATGCAAAGTTTCTGAGCTATTTTTGGAAGACGTTGTGGAGTAAACTCGGCACAAAGCTTCTGTTTTCGACAACTTGTCATCCTCAAACGGATGGACAAACTGAAGTGGTCAATCGTACTCTATCCCAAATGCTACGAGCCGTGATCAAGAGCAACATCAAAACTTGGAAAGATTGTCTACCACATGTCGAGTTTGCCTACAATCGAGCTGTGCATTCAACCACAAAGCATTCGCCTTTCGAGCTCGTGTATGGGTTCAATCCACTCACACCATTGGATTTGACACCTCTGCCATTGAAGGAACAAGTCAACATGGATGGAGCAAAGAAGGCCGAATTTGTGAAGAATCTCCATGAGAAAGCAAGATTGAACATCGAGAGAAGGACGGAGCAAATCATGAAGAACGTCAATCGAAATAGGAAGCCTCGATCGTTTGAAGCTGGAGATTGGGTGTGGGTGCACATGAGAAAGGAAAGGTTCCCATATCAAAGGAGATCCAAACTGCTACCTCGAAGTGAAGGTCCCTTCCAAGTGATTTCGAAGGTTGGAAACAATGCTTACAAGATCGATTTGCTAGGAGAATATGGGATAAGTGCAACCTTCAACGTTTCTGACCTTGCACCATATTTGGAGGACAACTCGGATTTGAGGTCAAATCCTTTTCAAGAGGGAGGGACTGATGAGGTCATCAAATCCAAGTCCAATTCATCACACGAAGGTCCAATTACTCGTCTACAAGCCAAGAGATTAAGAGAGGAATTTGCTGCTTATTTGGATCGACATTATGCTCAATTGGACATGGACCAACATCATGGGAAGCCCATTATACTTCTACAATTCGTGGACCAGCATGGAGGCAACTTGGGCTTCAAGGAAGGTGGATAAGAAGGCTACATTTTAAGGAGTTGTTGACTTGGTCTTTTCCTTGTCTATTAAGGATTGTGTTTTCCTTTTACTTTTCCTTTAAGGTTTTGTTTTCCTTTTAATTATAGGATTTGGTTATTTGTTTGCTTTCTTTCTTAGTTTAAGATTGGATTTTCGTTGCCTATATAAGGAGGATGCGTCCCTCATTGTAATTCATTCTATTATCAATCAACTTTCAAGTTTCAAGTTCAAACGAACTGGTTCTTTGTGCAAGCTTCTGTCGAGAGTGCTCCAGAGGTTTCACGTGTCTCTTATCAACTAGAGAACGCGTCTAGTTGTGGCGAGCTTCTACCCTATATCAATTACCCCTTTCCACGAGTTGGTGTTGTCCGATTGGTTTAATATACCAATTGCCCTTCATCACGAGTTAGGAATTGTCCGATTGATTCCGCATCTATCTTTATTTTTCGAGTTCAAGAAAGGCGACATCAGAAAATCATAAAAATATCGTTGAAGCTGCGTACTTTGATCACATCACGTAATGAGTTCGATTTTCAATGACATCTTTATGTTTGTTGTTTTAAGTTGAAAGTATGAGAACTTGGCAATTGAAGATTCATTCCATGTGGAGCTTTTGGCCTTTAATAGGTTATTATCATCAGAGGCATTTTAGATATTTTTGTGGCCGAATGCGCCACTTATTTTTTGTCAGTTGTTGACGGCAAAATTCAAACTTAAAATACGCCGCTTATCAAAATATCATTACAAGATTTTGAGCAAACACATAAATTATCGCGAATGCTCGTAATTTGCTCGAATGATCCTTGCCAATTAGGGATGACAACAATATTCATAACCGTGGATATCCGCCCGAATTCGATCTAATCGGTTAGGGTAAAACCCAAACTCGAAGGACATTTAGTGGGCACGGGTAAAACTCGAACCTTAATATTACGGGTAATGGGTGGGCATGAGTTTCTCACTATCCAACCCGAACCCGCCCGATTCTACACATGCATATGTATTTTGTCTAGAAATAATCATTATTTTTCTCTAACATATTTTATATTTAGCATATAATATAATATTTTCATGAAATTGTGTTGTTTTAATTAATTTTTCTCATTCTAGTGAATTATTGTCGTACTTTTCCTCTTACGTAATGTAAGAATACGTGTGAATATTAACATTTTGGTTGGAGTTATGAAGAAAAATTATTACCCGTGGATACCTGAAACCCGAACGCGTATGGGCAAGGTTTTGATTTTCTACCCGTTTTACATGTGGGTATGGGTATAAGTAAAATCCGACATATTTTGGGTAGGGTAACGGATATGCACTGACCAAACCTGAACCATTGCCATCCTATGTCAATTGCCATTGTATACCATCCATATTTGCATATGTTGTGAATTCAACTATTCGAGCTATATATAGCTGAAAGAAGGGTTAATACCTTATTTTGGCCCGAACTATGATCATATAATCAACTTTGGTCCGTGGTTCCAGAAATTAACATCCTGGCCTCAACTATGGAGCATATAGACTCAATTGACCCGACACATAGTTTGACCGTCAATTTGGACGGTCAACTCCGTTGACCGTTAGTCAACACGTCATGTCATTGCCTAGTCAGCCTAAAAATCATTAAAAAATTATTTATTATCAAATTAACCAAAAATAAATTATAAACAACATAAATTAAATTTATTATTTTTATTTTTTAGATAATTTGAAAATGATAAATTTTATAAATTAACCAAAAATTATCAAATTATTTTATATTTTTAAAACTTCCCAAAAAAATATAATTTATATCATAATTTTTAAATTTATAAAATATAATTTGATAATTTTGGTTAATTTATAAAATTTATCATTTTCAAATATCCCAAAAAAATTATTTTATATTTTTTGAATTTTATATTTTGGTTAATTGGAAAATGATACATAATAGAAATTATGAAAATAATTTGAATTTGAATTTTTTAATGATTTTTATGCTGACTAGGCAATGACTTGGCATGTTGACTAACGGTCAACGGAGTTGACCGTCCAAATGAACGGCCAAATTATGTGTCGGGCCAATTGAGTATATATGCTGCATAGTTGAGACCATGATGTTAATTTCTGAAACCACGGGCCAAAGTTGATTATATGGTCATAGTTCGGGCCAAAATAAGGTATTAACCCCTAAAAGAAACCATTAACACAATTAGTGGCAAAAGACCAATTTGTGTGGAAATTTAGTGATGAAAAAGGAATATAGTGAATTAAATATTCACTTTTCGGAATATCTGTAATTAAAATTAAATATTCCTTAGTATCCTTGTTATTTTTATTCAGCATTTTCCGTTTTTTAATATGTCTCTCCTCTGCAACCAAAAATACCGTCTCCCGTTTCCAATGTCTACTTCCTCCAATCTCCATAGAAACCGAGCAAAGCAATTCGCCGGCTAGAGAGAGAGAGGGAGAAAGAGAAAGAGAAAGAGAAAGAGAAACGAAGTGCGAAGGAGACATCCACCGAGCAGCCGCCGCTGATTCACGCTTCTCTAGGCATATCGGAGGAAAGAATCCGGATCGGGATCCGTCCATCATACTCGGAGCTCTCTTCTCCGGCTATCTAGATCTGCATCAGGTAAGCGTTTCTCAATCTCTTCCTTGTCCTTTCCCATTTGCTGGCGAATCCCAGATGCAGATTTAGCTGCATGTTTACCTTCGTGCTTGAGATCTAATCGCGGCCAGAGGAGGGTCTGCAATGGCGGCTTCGAGATTTCGTGCCTATATGCTATTTTTTCCTTTGCGCTTTTGCTCCGTCTAGTTATCAGATCCTCCGTAGACCTACCCTGCCGTGTTTCTGAGATGTTCCATAGATTTGCGCGTTTCGTGTTTCGTTTATGAGCGTTGTACTTAACTCATGGATTTTTCTACGTTGGAATTGAATTCGAGTAGTTTATCCATTATGCGTAGAATTGCTGTGTTTGTTGCGAATTCTTTGCTTTGCATGCCTTGGGAAGAAATGGAGTCGGTTCACGAGAAACGTTGCAATGATGAATCTAGCTGTTATTGATTTTAGGAATGGATCTCTCCAACTTGATTTTAGGAATGGATCTCTCCGTACTCATCGAGAGATCTGCTCTCAATTCAGTGGTTTTGCAGCTGTGATATCGGAAGAGATGAGGATGCCCAACATGCACTGGGCTTTCCTTTTTGTGGTTCTCTTAGCACATTCCTGCAATGGATTCTACCTCCCTGGTAGCTACATGCACACCTATTCAACAGGGGACAAGATATTTGCCAAAGTCAATTCATTAACTTCGATTGAGACGGAGCTTCCATTCAGCTACTACAGTCTTCCTTACTGCAAGCCAGATGAGGGAATCAAGAAAAGTGCAGAGAATCTTGGAGAGCTTCTCATGGGAGATCAGATCGACAACTCGCCCTATAGGTTTAGAATGAATGTCAATGAATCTGTTTACCTCTGCACTACACCTCCCTTGAGTGAGCACGAGGTAAAGCTATTAAAGCAGAGAACTCGAGATCTCTATCAAGTGAATATGATTCTAGATAATCTGCCTGTGATGAGGTATGCTACTCAGAATGGAATCAAGATCCAGTGGACCGGCTTTCCAGTTGGGTACACACCACAGAACAGCAATGAAGATTACATTATTAATCACCTCAAGTTCACTGTATTGGTTCATGAGTACGAAGGAAGAGGGGTGGAGATAATTGGTACTGGTGAAGAAGGGATGGGTGTGATTTCTGAAGGAGATAAGAAGGCTGCTTCTGGATATGAGATAGTCGGCTTCGAAGTTGTGCCGTGTAGTGTTAAGTACGATTCTGAAACAATGATCAAGCTCCACAAGTATGACAACATCACCTCTCCAAGCTGCCCATTGGAGCTTGAGAAGTCTCAAGTCATAAGGCAACAAGAAAGGGTTTCATTTACTTACGAGGTTGAGTTTGTGAAATCTGACGTCAGATGGCCATCTCGTTGGGATGCTTACTTGAAAATGGAAGGTGCCAGAGTTCACTGGTTCTCGATCCTAAACTCGCTCATGGTTATCTTCTTCTTGGCGGGTATAGTGTTCGTAATATTCCTGAGAACAGTGAGGAGAGATTTGACTAGGTACGAGGAACTGGACAAGGAAGCTCAAGCCCAGATGAACGAAGAACTTTCTGGGTGGAAGCTTGTTGTTGGTGATGTGTTCAGAGAGCCGGAGCACTCAAAGCTTCTCTGTGTGATGATTGGAGATGGAGTCCAGATTACTGGGATGGCAGCTGTCACTATAGTTTTCGCTGCATTCGGTTTCATGTCGCCTGCTTCTCGAGGAATGCTATTGACTGGGATGATAATCTTGTACCTCTTCCTTGGTATTATTGCAGGTTATGTGGCAGTTCGGTTATGGAGAACTGTGAAGGGGACCACTGAGGGATGGAGATCTGTTTCCTGGTCAGTTGCCTGCTTCTTCCCTGGAATAGTCTTCGTAATCCTCACAGTACTCAACTTTATTCTATGGGGAAGCAAGAGTACTGGCGCAATCCCGATATCCTTGTACTTCATCCTTATCGCCCTCTGGTTCTGTATCTCAGTTCCACTAACTCTCCTGGGTGGATTCTTTGGCACAAAAGCGGAGCCAATTTCGTACCCTGTGAGAACCAACCAGATTCCAAGGGAAATTCCAGAAAGAAAGTACCCTTCGTGGCTACTTGTCCTCGGTGCTGGAACTTTACCATTTGGTACTCTCTTCATCGAGCTCTTCTTCATCCTCTCCAGCATATGGCTCGGCCGATTCTACTACGTCTTTGGTTTCCTGCTGATAGTTCTCATTCTCCTCATCGTGGTATGCGCTGAGGTTTCGGTTGTCCTCACCTACATGCACCTATGCGTCGAGGACTGGAGATGGTGGTGGAAGGCGTTCTTCGCCTCAGGATCTGTAGCCCTCTACGTTTTCCTTTACTCCATCAATTACTTGGTCTTTGATCTGCAGAGTCTCAGTGGGCCTGTTTCGGCCGTACTCTACCTTGGATACTCGTTGATCATGGCTGTCGCGATTATGCTGTCCACTGGCACCATTGGGTTCGGGATGTCGTTCTACTTCGTGCATTACCTCTTCTCTTCCGTGAAGATCGATTAGACAACAACAGAAGGTACATCTTAACTGGAAGAAGAAGAAGAAGAAAATTTCAGATTTACCTTTTGAAGGAGGGAAGGAAAGTTATACCGTTTTGCACGTTTTACTGATAATCTGTATGGTCGCTTCGAACCATTGTCTCTAGTTACTTGCTGTAATACAGGGGAAGGAGATTTATGTTCGGATTCGTGAAGCCCTGTTTCTGCAATTTTCGTTTTTTCTTTTCCTTTTTGGTTATGTCTTTGAGATTAGAAGATGTGTTATGATAGTTTTCTGAGCTTCATTTTGAATGTACTTGATGATTCTTGCTATATTTTTCCAACTGCTGTAGAACTATTGTAGTTGGGTGGACTTTTTGTTGTATTGATTTTTCTTTATTTCTATTTTCTCATGGAAAAGAAAAAAGTTATACTTGCCTATTCATTTTAAAACTGAATTGCATCTTGTGCTTTCACTCATGAGAATCAAATTTCATCTAATCGAATTGACCTTAAGGAACCCGCATCAAAGTTTATTCAAATTTTATCTCAATTTCATCAACTCGCGACTATTGGTTTGATTTGCATCAAATCGAATGGTTGAGACCTTTCTGTCGTTGGTTTGTTAATGTCTATTTGCTATGTCCTTCTTTTACCATTCCTAATCAGAGGGTTACTTTAATCTTTTTATTTTGATTCGGATTAAAATTACAGCCTATTTCCGATTATGATTTTTGTTAATGTCTCTTTGCTATGCCCTTCTTTTACCATTCCTAATCAGAGGGTTACTTTAATCTTTTTATTTTGATTCAGGTTAAAATTACAGCCTATTTCCGATTATGATTCTATATATTCTCGACTATTTTGTTTTATATCGATCCAGTCTTGATTCTTGTACATGCCCAATTCAATCTTACACATATTCATAGTCCTGATTCTGGAAATTACAAGTTAGGCAACACTAACCCACTTTGCTGGCTTGGGATACGGTCAGTAACCATTAGTAATTACTGGTTACTAACGTATTAGTAACTAAATCTGGATCTTTAGATCTAAATGAGCCCTGAAAATTTAGATCTAAGTGTTGTGAATTAAAAACATTTTATTTTTGCTAGTTTTTTCAATTGACTCTTATCTTCCTCGTTCTAACTCGGATTTCAAATTTTTTTTTTGCACAAATGGAACGAGTTCTTCTCAATCTACAAAATGAGATCAATTTTCAATATATTTCGAGAAATTTTTTTTTCATACTTCTCAATCTACAAAATGAGTTCTTCTCAATTTTTTTAATATATCATCGTCGCAAAAATTATTACATACGGTTATACTGTTGTTGTAGAGCCTTGGTCCGTCGACAGGCAACTGGGCAAGTATGCCCTCCTTCCCCTCTCTTATTTCTAAGTAGTAGGTCGACGTCCTAATTATCACTGGACCAGTTTAAGTAGCCCCCTAGTAGCAATAATGCACATGGGCAAGACCATTCTTAATTACTACATGCAAATTGATGCGATCATTACAATCGTCAATAGCCATCCAAATTTTTGTCGGTTGCCCTAGTCGCTGCACAAATTGATGCAATGATCGATAGCTATTAGGGACGAGGGGGAAAAAATTATAAATTGGGTATTGTTCCATCCCAATTTATTATATGTCAAATCATATTGGTGTAAATTGGGTAACATTCCATCCCAATTTATTAGATGTCAAATCATATTGGTGTAATATCATCGTCGCAAAAGTTATTACATACGGTTATACTGTTGCTAAAAGCAAAAAAAAAAAAAAAAACATTGGTAAAATATTTTATATTTTGTCCTTGTCTATGCCGTTCCTCCTCGTTGCATTTATCTAAATTTGGACATCGTTGAAATAAAGCTCCATTTGGTAGAATACTGCTTGGGAAGACTCGATCTTAAAGATACCAACAGGGAATGTCGAAATGGAGGATCCAATCCAAATGCTGAAATCCAAAGAATTTTTGGTATTCAGAAGATAGAATCTTTCACACGGGTAAGGATGAGGAGTTTGTTAAAAATCAAAGTTCAATTCCCGCTTTTTTCATATACGAACATATCATGAAGGGTAATTACTACTCCCTTGAATATATTTATCAACTTGCATTTTGATTAGATGTATTCAGGGCCGGACTCAGGGTGACCTTTGGGATACGCTTGAATTCTAACTTAAAAGATAAAATTATCAAAATAATTTTCAACTAAGAAAAAGTATATACAATGGCATGATGAGTATTGAACTCAAAATAATAATTACAATCCACCATATTATCCAACCAGTTAGATGATGATGTATATGAATTTGAGTTGAATAATGACAAGTTCATAGCATGTTCATCACCTATAACAATATGAATTCTAAATTTAACCTAACTCATTCCAATTAGCTCGATTTCTAGTTTTTTTTTATAGGGATGACATGTGTTTGTTTTTAGTTAGGTCATATTTACGAGATCCGGATCGACGACCTCTAATTTGAAAATCAGTGATATTACCACTTGATCAAACTTTTTTTCGCAAGCTCAACTCCCGATTTGAAGAGGTCCCTTTTGTCTTATAGTATATGCAAATAGCCCATCACCCATCTCTCAATTCCTCAAGATCTGACTTTCTATATTATCATTCATGGCACTTCTTCCTAATTAGTATATTTCTTCCTAATAAGTGTGGAATGTAATAAATATTCGTGTGAGTTTGATTTCTTTCAAAATAGCATTGTATTATTATTATTAATGTCATATACAACAAATACACGTTATTATATCATATGAAAGATGACTAACGATTCGATGTTTTCGGATTATATCACAAAATCAACCTCTATAGTGTGTTTAATAATTTTGTGGATGCCTTCTTCACTATGTTACTTGCTTTTAAGGACACTATGTCTAGGTTTTCGATCGGCAAGGATGAGTTAAATGTGCTAGTGTACCTTCATGCGATCATCTACGAGACTTTACTGTTCTAACCACACTGTCCATTTGAGCACAAATGCGCCAGTGAAGATGATGTGCTCCCTACTGGTCATAGAGTAGTTAAGAAGGGCATGAGGTTGTTGTTCTCCATATACTCCATGGGGAGGATAGAAGATATATGGGAAAGAATGCATGGAATTTAAACCTCAGAGATGGATTTCAGAAGAAGGGAACATAAACCATGTTCTGTCGCAGAAGTTTATGGCTTTTTTGACAGGACCAAAGATTTCTTTTAGAGGAAGGGGATGTCTTTCATGCATCTCAAGTTCATTGTTAGTGCTAGTCTGTGGAACTATAAGTTGATATGGTAGAGGGTCATATCGTGAAGCCAACACCTTCTATTCTATTGTCTATGAAAGATAGCTTGAAGATAAGAGTTTCCAAGAGAGATGTTCAGTTTCTTCCTACAATATTTGTGATCTTTGGTAATAATAAAAAAAGTAATGTCTATTTTTTATGCAAACCTTTTTCAAATTTTTTTATATTATCCAAATTTATTAAAATGCTATTAATAAGCCAAATCTTTCGTAATACATAAAAAAGTAGCCATTTTTACGTTATCGTTAATAATTTTGTAAATATTTTCTTAATTAAAATACTAAAATTTTGGAATGTAGACATTCATTTGTCTCTTCCAGGTTAGTATCATTTTTCAAAGTCAATATTAATTACTAACAAAATTGCTAACCGGAAGTTAACATTGTGCTAATTCTTAGTATTTTGATAGGTTTGGATAATATAAAAGAAATTGACAAAGGTTTTGATAAAAATAGACATTATCCTAATAAAAAACCTAAATGGGTACTTATAGGGTTTGAGCTATATGATTATTATTTGGGTCATTTCTAATAAATAAATAAAATGTAAGCCTCCATTTCTTTCTCTCACTCTATCCTCTTACCTTACGTTCCTAGACACATAATAATTTAATGTTTCATAGATGATACATTGAGAGTGACATTTTTAATATTTTAGATATTTTTTATAATATAATCATCGTTAAACATTAACAAAGAATATATATATATATATATATATATATATATATATATATATATATATTTGTTTAAATCGGATATACTAAAGCTAAAAAATTTACTACTGTATATACCCATATCCCTGGCCCAGTTTCAGCAGCCCCTTATAGCAATAATGCATGGGGGTGACCATTTTTGGCTTTTGGAAGGTCGACTTTAATTGCCACATACAAATTGATATATCACCATCCAAAATTTCGTTGGTTGCCCAGCAGGGTTGTCACGCCGGCCGGCGTGCTACCGGTTGTACCTGGTTCAACCCGTACCGGTCATAAAATCGGCGTGACACCACCGGTATGACCGGCATGATCGATATACGATTCTCTAAGTAAAATAACCTTATTTTAGTGACTTTAATTGTTAAAAATTATTTTATTATTTATTTTATGAGTATAAATGTTAAATATTGATGTTATTTGTTGGATTCAAGTATAAATATTTAGGTATTGACGTTAAATGTCATGTTTAAAATGAGTATTTATAATTTTATTTGTAATATTGACCGGCATGAACCGGCACAAACCGGTATGTGCCACCGGTCGAACCATTCCACTTGCTAAACCGACACACTGGCATAAACCGGTTTGACAACCTTGTTGCCCAGCCTTAGTGGCAGGATTGATCGATCGCGTCATTAACAAAAATAATGCAATCCTATCTTTCAAGAACGTTTTAATTAATGGTCATATATTTTGTTACATAAGTTATATTTAGTTGCATAAGTTTGTTCTCAATAATGCGACATGAATTTTGAAGGGTGGAGGAGGCTTGGCCTTATCCATGCATGTACAATAATGTGTGATTTAGGGAGCAATATTGGTTTGGTGGGTACGATTTATTTATATTTATCATTTATGAGATTAAAGGTTGACGAAACGTAATATGATATAAAAAAACTAATGTTTAAGTGACTCGTAGAAAGTCTAAAGTCCAATCTATGAATGATTATGTTTTAAGTTGATATATATAATATTTTAGAAATTGTTTCAAAATCTTCATATAAATTGAATATTTTCAAAATTGCCACAAATTTTTTTTTTGAAAAAAATATTACCGGAAGAAGAGAGGGAGAATGAGCAGGAATTTCAGTATAAAATATACGTACATACGAGTCATGTAGCAAATAATCAATTGATTTGGTTGCAAACACGTGAAAATCACACCCTGTATCTAATTAATTGCAATTTTAGTTGGTTTCAACGAAAACGCGTCTTGAAACTAAATCAGTTAGCTTATCATGATAAAACTGTACTGAGTTTGGTTGAATGACCTGAGTGAGCACTCTAACTACTTATGATCATCAATCAGAGTGGTGTAGAATTTAACTGGATGAGTACGAGTCTTCAACCCAAAAATATCGAATATAAACTGTTATGCGAGTGATTTATGTACGTTCATTTTAATAGTCTCAAAATGTCAAACTTCAATGACAATTATTTTTCATATATTTTGTTGGACTTACGACTTACACTATATGTTGATTAGTTGAGAAAATTAAATAATTATTTCTAGACGGTACTTATTGTGTAAAAAAGGATGTGATTAATGTTAAATTAGGGGGGGGGGGGGGGGGGGGGGGGGAAGACTTATGCTTATAGATTAGCATGGTTTGTGATGTTGCACGGAAGTTAATGTTTAGGTATTTGTGGTATATACTAAGACACCACACGACAATATACTGAATATAGCACAAATAAGAGAAGAGAGTACCCTTCCAAGCTTTATTGTACCCTTCTACCGACTCTTTGCCTGTTTATAATTAATGCATTATTAGGGAGCCCATGTACAGAACTGGCATGTTTGTAATGCTCTTTTTTTTCTTCTTCTTTTTTTGGCATTTACCACCCCACACCACATCTATCAATAATTAGGGTTGGCAATTTGGTCCAGAATTGTTTGGTTTTACCCGAAATCGGACCGTATAACTCGGACCGGGACCGGATAGCAAACAATCCAATCTCATATTCGGGCTTAGATTTGAGGTAAAAAACCCCGGATAAAGACCGGATAAGAGACCCCCAACACCTAAAATCAATATATAATTGGGACCGGACCGGGTCAAGACCGGACCGGATCAAGACCGAAGTGTATCCAATCCAATCTTTGATCCTTATATTTCTGAAAAGACCGGACTGGGACCGAATCAATTTGGTCCAATTTAACCGAAGCGGACCGTATAGCCGCCCTAAATGCACATCTACTGCGTACTCTCCTTGATCGTGTTTTCCCTCGACGTTTCTTCTAAATTGGTTGCATGCAAGGAAACTAATTAATATTTCATCACATCCCCCTTTCTTAACGTGTGACTGCCTTAGCTAGCAAACGTCCTCCTTTATAAACAACAACAAAGAGAAACCCAACTTGTAACTGCATGCAACAATTATAGCTCCACTCCCACAGAAACTAACGAAACGATGTCATTTCTGCTCTTGCTAACCTTCCTCTCATCACTACTTCTTCTTTACACCATCATGACGATGAGGAAGATGAAGAAGAAGTCACCATCGTCGATCCCAAATTGGCCTATCTTTGGAATGCTTCCATCCCTCCTATGGAACCTCCCCCGCCTCCACGAACTCGCCACCGATATCCTCAAAGTCAACGGCGGCACCTTCGTCTTCAAAGGCCCTTCCTTCACCAACCTCAACTTCATCGTCACAAGCGATCCCACCAACGTCCACCACATCGTCACCAAAAACTTCTCCAACTACCCCAAGGGACCCGAGCTCAAGGCGATCATGGCGCCATTTGGAGACGTCCTATTCAACAGCGACGGCGACTCCTGGAAGACGAAGAAGGAGATCGTCCTCTCCCTCATCAAAACCGCCGGATTCGAGAGGCTTCTCATGACAACCCTTCGTCACAAACTGGCCGACAGCCTCATCCCGGTACTCGACCACGCCGCGAGAAATCATGACGATGTTGTGCTCGACTTGCAAGATGTGATGAAGCGGTTCATGTTCGATCTCACCTGTTTGCTCTTCCTGGGGATCGACCCGGAGTGCTTGTCCACGAGTTTTCCTCGTGTTCCATGTGCGGAGGCGTTTGACGTGTTAGAAGAGGCCATCGTTTACCGCCATTGCGTGCCAAAGTGGGTTTGGAAGTTGCAAAGATGGCTTCACGTCAGGTGGGAAGGGAAGACGATCGAAGCTGAGGAATGCCTCAACGGGTTTGTGGAGGAAAGGATCAGAGTCAAGATGGTGGAGAAACGGGCGAAGGAGAGTACTAGTGATAATGAGGATAATTATGACTTTCTGATGAAGCTTATAGTTGAGACAGAGCGGTTAATGGGGACTTGTTGTTATAGTAGTAAGTTTGTGAGGGAAATTGTGGTTAGCTCGATGGTGGCCGGGAGAGACACCATTGCTGTTGCTCTCAGTTGGTTCTTTTGGCTCGTGGCCACCAACCCAGGCGCGGAGGAGAAGATCCTGGAAGAACTGGATCGAGGCCTCATTACTCAAACAGGTAAAAAAAACGTTCAAAAGACATGTTCTTTACAAGAGAGAATATAATCATTTTCGGGACAGGCAGACAGACTTTTCGTGCATGTATAGTATGTATATAATAGCCAAAAATTGTTGTTGTAGCATGAGATCGAGAACTGGATGAACGATTCGATGTATGCACCCTAAACTGTATATGGTCAGCACTGCAGATTGTCTCTCGATCGATGGCTATCTAATCTAATTCTTTTGTTATGTACTGCATGCAGGTGAAAAAGAAGTGATATTTTCGAGCATAGAAGAGTTGAACATAATGGTGTATCTGCACGGGGCCATAAGCGAGACTTTGAGACTATATCCATCGGTTCCATTTGAGCCGAAGCAATCCCTCAAAGACGACGTTCTTCCCAGCGGCCACATCGTTGGCCGGAACGCTAGGGTCTTAGTGTCCATTTACTCGATGGGAAGGATGGAAGATGTATGGGGTAAGGACTGGATGGAGTTCAGACCCGAGAGGTGGGTTGCAGCAACAACCGATGGGAACGATATCTTCAACAATGATAACAAGAAGAACAATATTATTCACGTGCCATCCTACAAGTTTGCAGCATTCATGGCAGGGCCAAGGTCGTGATCGGGGAGGAAAATAGCGTACACACAAATGAAAACCATAATAAGTTGTGTTTTGCGCATGTATAAGATCGACGTGGTGGGTGGTCATCCCGTTGTCCCGCTGCCTTCTATTATGATGTTTATGAGACATGGTTTGAAGGTCAGGGTTTCAAGCAGGATACGAGGGAGTAGTACTACTACTACCAATGCTGTCAACTCGACTTTGTCGGGACCCGGTCAAACAAGTGGGTGAAGGACTAATGATCGGATATCGATTCACCCGGTTTCGCTCGAGTATGTCGCTATCATATAGTTACTATAATTTCTCTTGTCATTTAATATATTGTCATGTCTCTTTAGAAAATTATCAAGTGAGTTTGAACAAACTCTGAACTTTTATATTCTTACATAATGCTCTTAACTAGCTATGTATCCCGCGCGCTGCGCTGCGGCAATTGAAATTGGTAATGAATAAATAAATTTTATTTGTGGAATTGATGAGCTTGAAGAATATAATACTATTAATTTGTGATTATTAAAAAAATCAAGATATAATGAAGTAATAAAACCTCAATATACTGAAATGGAGATCAAGTTCTACGCAAGATAAAGAGTAAAGACAAACTAAAGGAAAGAATGTTGAGAGTCATAGTTTGGCTATGGTAGACAAAGTAAAGTGTTATCAGTCCGTTGCATATATAATTGACTCACAAACACCATGTGGATCGTGCACAAATGCACAATTCATTGTCATTTTGCTGCATATTACAATTATAATCTCATTTCCATACAACATAAAACGACTTATGCTTTAATTCAGTGGGTACTGGTACTCGGTAATAAAGCACTTTTAATTCATCGTAAAAGTGGATTACAACCTCGCTTGACCCCATAGCGACATGACATCCAATAAGAATCACCAATCAGCTGCGCTTCAGATCTATCACCATCCTCTTGTCCAAAGAGCAGACTTGCGTCCTACGTAAAGTAAACTTTTCGGTTGTATGAATATGGTCTCCTCTAACTCAACTCCATTGCAAAAGGGCTTGCTTGAAGATGTAACTTTGAGACAATACTTATGTTCTGTTATATGGCTCTTCTACCCTATGATTTTGACGTGTCAAAACCACCAATACACATTAAATCATGTTGATAAGTTAAAGTAATTGGACAACTACTCTAAAGGCTCTAATATCAAAGAATTGAATCATATATGAGAAGACCTTAATAGAATGACACCTAAAACAATGGCAGAAAAGGCCTCAAGCATACATCCATCATTCTGCACCAAAACGTATGCATTCAGCTGCGAAATCAGAGCAATGATGCTTATAAAGCATCCATCTATATATCTAGTTAGCCCAAGGCCATGTTATGATACATCAAAGACATGAAGCAGTGAATTTTGGTTCTAAACATCTATCTTCCTACACAGAAAAGGGGTGTAACAACGAACCTGACAAATCAAGTGTGCCTAAATGTATCTTCAGTTCTCCAAGAAGGCTTCAAAGCTATAAGAACTATTACAAATATATCAATAGAAGCATCCATATAGGAAAATTGGAAGCTAAATTAAAGTAAAAATGAATACTTAGAGACTCTTCGCCAAAACATGACAATCCAAGTAGAACAATGATGCTTTGTTTCCGACCATTTGAACCAATACGGTTGAGGATGAGAATTAATTGATTTGTTCCTCAACTGAATATCTGATGCCAAGCTTTTACCAAATGAAATTGACTCAAAGAACACCAACAACCCCAACTTGTTGCATGGGTCAAATCAAAACTAATTGATTTATTACTTATCATGAATCTGGCGTGTCACCAACATATTTTAGCAGTAAGATATGAATTGAAAACTCGGAGATATGCGCATTACATCACAGTTGTAGAAATTTTTTAAGTAATCAAGAAAGAACAAAACAACAAATTGAATTTCATCTTACACTTTCACGGAATCGTCCTTCAAAAGGTTCGATGTCCAGAACATTTCTTTAATGCACCCCCATGAGATTCGACAATGCTCCTCTTCATTAATAACATCAAATATACTTAATCTTACTGGTTGAATACTTGAAATGATGATAACTTGAACTTGGAGGTTATAGGTTCAAATCTTCGTCATGATATTCAATACACATGTTTTTAGTTTTATTTTAATGTAATTAATAACTTAAAATGTTAAAATCGTAAATGACATGGAAAATTTAGTTTTATTTTAATGTAATTAATAATTTAAAATGTTAAAATCGTAAATGACATGGAAAATTGTTGGCTTTCTTTGTCCTACATGGCAAAATCTTTCTCCACAACGGCCATAGCATAATAACTAGTGTGGGCCCCGGCCAACTGGCTGGAGGAAGGTGAGGTATGAAATTTGATGATGTAATGGAGTGTATAGCTTATTGTTGTATAGTTTTTTTTGCGAAACACGTGATAAAAATAGTGAATTTTAGCAGGAAAGAGACATGAATGACGCAACGAATAAAAAATCGGCCTTATGAACCAAAATCAAGTACATGTTACCTTGTGAAACAATATTGCATCTGATAATATGATGAGGTGGAGTAAGTTTTATAGAAACCGAATTCCAGAAAATCGATTAAAAAATCGTCTATCCCGTCGGTTTTCGGGAAATGAGCATCTCACAATCGTTGCTAGCTTTTACTCGGCCCGTTGGCCGATTAATTTGCTTTATAAAACTTTCATCTTGTCGTCATTGTGCTTTCTGGTTTTTGTCAGGCCATGATAAAATCTAAGGAAATAAAAAACGAACAACACGATTTGGGATAGGAACCGCCGTTGTCGTATCCCTAGAAAATGGTGGTAAACACGGACTCACCTGCCAAACTGGCCAAAACGGGCCAAAACTTGAAACTCAGCCTGTTTGACCGACCCATGCCAAATTCTAATTATTCTTTACTTTTAAACTTTCTATTTGAAAAAAAAAATTGTGAAAGAAAAGAGATGACTGCAATTCGCCATTTGCACATCATTTATTCGGGAATAAAACCATAGAAATTCAAAAGGAATTGAAAATATTTAGAATCATTTTAATGTTTAAAATAACCAAATAGATATTTCTGTTTAGTTTTTTACTAACAAATATCAAACGATTCCCTATAAAATACACTATAATTTGATCATTATGATATCAAATAATTATATAATATATATTTGAAATGATAAAAATTGGACTAATTGGGTTGGTCGAGGTTGAACCATTGAATAACTTTAAAATACATTATATTTTAGCCACTAAGATGTAAAATAATCGCATAATATATGTTATGCTAGAGAAAATAGCTTGTTTTAGAATGTCAAACCAATGATGTTCATTTGTTTTACTTGATGGCCAAATCCCGTGTAGGTCATGCCCATTCAACTCTTTTATTTTATGGTTAGCGGTTAGCCCATTAGAAACCATGCATTAGTTTATTGTTAAATTTTTTTATGTTTAGCAATAAAAAGAAGTATTATTTTTGCCTTTTCATATATATTTTATCACCACGGAGAAATAAAGAGCTTAAAGAAAAAAAATTGACACTCCTGGACCCGTTCAAATCCGCATGTGTACGGTAAGTTGGCCTGTTCCACAAAGGAAAGAGAAAAAAATTGACACTCCCTATTCTACCCTTCCTACAAACGCTCCTGGAGCTGGGAATTTGAAATGGGAACGCTCCTGTTGTAGGGAATTTGAAATGAGGGAAGAGTTTTTTCCTCCATGCTATTATATATTTTTAATTTAAAAAATACAATAAATGTACTTAGTGTGATTGGTTTTTTCCTCAATACTCATATTTGATTATTTGTATTTTTATGTTATTTTTAAGTCTATTAACCCGTTTAATCTTATTGATAATCATTCGATCGAGATGATACATAAAGAAATAATATATATGTCGAACATTCGGAGAAATATCATAATCATTTACGAATATAAAATATAAAAATGTATCATTGACCCCATTTTCATAATGCTAATTAGGTCCCTGTTAAAATGCTATTGGTTAGTTTTTTTTTTTTGACAGTCAAGAAATATAGAGTATAAAAGCTCACTGAAATTCTCACACACCCCATAGATAGTTTGAAACTAAATCTTAAACCTCACAATCCTATATAAAGGGTTCAATGCTCTCCTTTTAGAACCAATATGTCTGCTAATCAAAAAGAAATGGAGAGTTGTTGATTCAAGTCATCTATATACTAAAAACTCAGCTAAGAGGGGACCATCACAACTTGAGAGCAAACTAAAAAATCAGGGTTATCTCCAATATGCGAATAGACTCGATCAAAGTAATAAGGCACAAAATTAGACACTCCTTATCTATTAGTTCCAGTAGGTTGAATAAAGAAGCGACCTATTTCAAACAATCAATCAATGATTCCTCGTTTTAAGATAGAAATAGGTTGTGACAGTTGCAAAAACCATAAACCTAAAGATCCAATAGCCACCACTCTCCGTTGTACAACCAAATTTCTATCTCAAGAGGCATATATTCAACCAAAAATTCAATTTCTAATCCTCCTTCTACAACTTCAGTTATTGATGAACTCCATTCTATTCGCCATGAATTGATATCGGAGTTGAAATCTTCTACTCGCCCAGCTTAAAATCCCTAACAATAAAACCATAGTGCCAAGAGATATATGAAGATTGATTTTCAATGACAGTCTTGTACTGGGAAGTGAAAGGCGCAAACTATTGCACGATGGATGAAATTTCGGAGGAAGTTAGAAAGAGAAAATAACAAAGATAAAAAAACAAAAAATTTAAATTTAAATTGAAAAATGCAAGGATACAATACGTAGTTACATAATTAGTTTCTTCCATGTTAGCCAATTACCCATTTACCTTTAGCAAAAATTAAGGAAAGAGCGGGAATTTAAAATTGAGAAAATTACATGAAACTCTACTATGAAAATAGAAGTATCAAGCTCGATAAAAATACATACGGTAGACTTAGAGAGCTTGTTAATTATGATGAAAAAGTCCTCTGATTTTCAGAGATTAACTTTGTCTATTTTTTGTATAAAAAAGGATGCAATAAATTTGTTTAGTGTAACTGGTTGTTATTGTTATATTTGTTTGAAAAGTCCCGGGTTCAAATCTTGATATTGCTATTTTTATATGAAATAAATAATAAATGTGTAAAGACAAAAATGACCTTCCTACTTTCACTCTCGTTGCAGGAAATTTGAAATGGAGAAAAGTACACAAAAGTCTATCATATATTAATGGAGGATGTATAGAATAGAATAAATAAATATAGTAAGGGAGAGTAGTAGTGATGTGGAATTGCTCTCTGAATGCTCTCTGAATCCCAGCTCTCTGCTCACTCCTCGGCGCCGGCTGCCGCCCAAACTGGCCGTCCGCCGGATGCCATCCCTCCCTCCGATACCTCTGCTCCTTCCTTAGCCAAGGCGATGAGTCCCGATCACACGAAGGAATCAGTCTTAGCGAACCCCTCCAATTTTCCGCCGCTGAATTTTAAATCAGCACTCTCAGGTCAAGGTCATGATCCAAAAACCACCGCCAATAGGTGGACTTTCGTTGGCGAACAGGATCTGGTGGCCGGATCCTTTGCAGGAGAACCAGAGCTGAAAGTCTCAGAAAAATTCAAGGAAAGACTCTGTTCTCCGTGGAAGAAAACCTTAGTTATCCGGTTGCTTGGGCGATCGATTTCATACAACTATCTGTGCTCCCAGCTCAGATGGAAATGGCGCCCGACGGGATCAATGGATATCATGGACCTCAATAATGAAACTTTCTTGGTAACGTTCTCCAATGACCAGGACTATTTAAAGGCCCTAACTGGAGGGCCATGGGACATCCTAGACCACTACCTCGTTGTTCATCCCTGGTCACCGAAATTCAGAACGTCCGACAAGATTTACAAGTCAGTCACCGCCTGGGTCCAACTACCGGAGCTTCCTGTACATTTCTACCACCGGGAAGTCCTGTTCGCGCTCGGCAACCTTATAGGAAGAACTGTCAAATTGGACTACCACACAGAGAGGCTAGAAAGGGGGAAGTTTGCAAGGCTTGCCATAGAACTGGACATGACACAACCCCTCCCGACCCGCATTCGCCTGGACGGATTCTGGCAACAAGTGGTATACGAGAACCTCCCCCAAATCTGCTTTGATTGTGGAAGAATCGGTCACTTGGAGGACACTTGCCCTAAGAAACAGAGCACCGTGGGAACTATGATAGCATCTGGGTCTACGGTGCAACCAACAAGCGGTGTCGTCCAGATCGAATCGCCGGTGGAGCCGCCGGCCGGCTACGGGCCTTGGATGCAGGTGGTGCGCAAATCTCGCAAACCAAATAGGAAGGTCAGCGATAATCAAGGGAACCATCCAGCTAAACTTACCAATCAGGGAAAACAAACGGCTAAAAGCACAGGATACTCGAAGGGAGATACTCACGGCACGACGACCGGCAATGATGGGAAAGGCAAGGCGAATAACAACGCAGAGCACAAGAAAGGAAAATCCGATTTCGAGAAAGGGAAAGGCTCAACTGATGGAGGAAAACCTACTCAGGGAATCAAAAAGTCCAACAACGGTTCTCAAGAGTGGGTTCCGGTGGGGGCTGTCAAGGATGTCTCCAACATCCAAAGCCCGGTTACTGACTCTGGGCCGCGGAGTCGAAGCCCACAAGTTGCTGTCCCTAATAACCCAACAACGAGAACTATCTCTCCCAGCCCATCTGCGGCTGAGCTCAACCCAGTAGTAATTATGAAGGAGAATGCCAACCCGAACACATCCTCCCACTCAGTCAGGCAACACTTCGAGAAGAAAAATACCAGCGGTTCGCCTAGCCCTGGGAATAAGAATGATCGACATCTGAAAGTGGCAAAGAAGCCAATTCAGAACCCCACAGCGATGAAGCGCGAAGTAAACCAATTGGTAAAGGAACCCACCTTCCCTATCACCCAACGGGATATAGAGTCCTTCATCATCCAATCTAGGCTCAAAGCAGAGGAATTCGGAAAAGCTTTGAATACGGCTGTTAGCGATGTGAGAATGGAGGATAGTGCGGCCATTCCCGGAACCAAGAGGACTACCTCGGACCAGAGCACCCTGCCAACGCCGATCAGTGCGGACTAACAGGGAGCCCCTCACCGCCCTTCCTCTTGAATTTTTTTCCATGTTTAGTGTTTTTAGCTGGAATTGTCGTGGGGCCAAAAGCCCCAAGTTTCTTGCTGCTTTCAAAGATTATATGCTTGCTTCCAAACCCAATATCGTATTCATCGTCGAGCCAAAAATCAGTGGGAAAGAGGCTGATGCGGTGATTGCTAAAATGGGTTTCGATTGCTTTGAGAAAATTGATGCCGTCGGCTTCTCCGGGGGAATTTGGGTCCTCTGGAAGGCTGCGGAATTGTTGGTTACTGATGTAGACAGAGATCCTCAGTTCATTCACTTTCGTTGTCTAAACTTGCAGGATAACCACACTGTGGAAATGACGGCGATTTACGCGAAGCCGAACGATCACGACCGCCTCCCGCTTTGGGACTCCCTTCGACGTATTGAGCAGAACATGAGGAACCCATGGCTTCTTGTTGGGGACTTTAACTCCATCTGCAATCCTTCTGAACGGCAGGGGGGAGCGGGGTTCAATGCTCAGAGAACTTCTCATTTCAATGCTTGCATCAATGACTGCAGCTTGATCGATGTGGGGTATACAGGTCCGCGATTTACCTGGACTAATGGCAGACTTTCGCAACGCCTCGATCGCGCCCTTTGCAACAGGGATTGGATTGACCACTTCCCAGATACTTTGAATACGCACCTGCCCCGGATTCGTTCAGATCACCGTCCTATTCTCATCAGGAGTTCAATTGTTAATCGGACTCCCAACAAGGAAAGACCCTTCCGGTTTCTGGCGGCCTGGCTATCCCATGAAACGTTCCAAAGTACCATTGAAGCAGCCTGGAAACACGGTGGGGATTTTAATCTTTCCCTCCTTGATCTTCAAGTAGCCCTCCAAACCTGGAATAAAGATGTCTTCGGGAACATTTTCAAGAGGAAGAGATCCCTTTCAAAGATGCTGGTTAAATGGGAGCTTATCAACGATCACAAACCCAATCCAAGGACTATTCAAGAGGAAACCCGGGTAAGGGAAGAGCTAGAGCAAACCCTCTGGCAAGAGGAGCTTCTTTGGATGCAGAAATCTAGAGATAACTGGATCAACAACGGTGACAGCAACACGCCCTTCTTTCACACTTCCACTTTAGCCCGGAGGAGAAGAAACAAGATCCTCAGATTGCAAAATGATGATGGAGTATGGGTTGAAGATCAGGATATGTTGCAGAATATGGCCCTGGACTTTTATATCGAGCTATTCACTGCAGATACTGCTACAGTCCAGAATCTTGGCGCGGGATTTAAGACAGTGGATGCTTCCCGAATGAGCAGGCTGGCTTCTACTCCGTCTGTGGAAGAAATCCGCGGTATCATCAAGAACATGGGGAGCCTGAAATCCCCTGGTAAAGACGGGTTCCACGCTATATTCTACAAACGCTGCTGGAATACCATTCAGGTTGAGCTCCGGGAACTCATTGACAGCTGCTTCCATAATCCAGAGAAGATTAGATACTGTAATGCGACATTGCTCACCCTACTGCCTAAGGTGGACAGCCCGAGTAATATTACTCAATTTAGACCGATTGGTTTATGCAATGTCAGCTATAAGATCGTAGCGAAGTGCCTGGCTGATCGTCTCAAGCTGTTGATGGCGGATCTTGTTGATGAGAACCAAACCAGTTTTGTGCCTAAGCGACACATAACCAGCAATATAATCATCCTTCAGGAGATCATTCATTCCATGAATCAGAAGAAGGGGGAGAAGGGACTGATGGTGCTGAAAGTCGATCTGGCTAAGGCATATGACAGGATTAACTGGAGCTTCCTCAAATCTACTCTGGAGGCCGCTGGGTTTCCTCAGGATTTCATCTCTCTAGTGATGGCCTGTGTTACGACAGCTAGTTTCCAGGTGCTTTGGAATGGGAACTGCACGGAGGAGTTCAAACCCACGCGCGGACTTAGACAGGGATGTCCTCTTTCTCCTTACCTTTTTACTTTATGTATGGAGCGCTTAAATCATAATATTAAAAAGTGTGTGGAGGTTGGGGACTAGAAACCGATCTGCCTGTCTAAGAATGGACCACAGCTAACCCATCTGTTTTTTGCAGACGATCTGGTGCTGCTAGCAGAGGCAGATGTTAGACAAGCCAAGACTGTGATGGGCTGCCTTGACCAATTTTGCTCAGCTTCTGGAGAGAAAGCCAGCAAAGAGAAGTCAAGAGTGTATTTCTCGAGGAATACTAAGGATAGTACCAAGAACAGGTTAAGCAGCATAATGGGAATCCCTCGCACTACTAATCTCGGCAAATACTTGGGAGTACCTGTTATCCACGGTCGCATCACGAAGGAAACCTACAAGTATATCCTGGAGAATATTGACAGAAGGCTCGCGAACTGGAAAACGAAGAGTCTCTCGCTTGCTGGACGGGTCACCTTGGCTACCTCCGTCCTGAATGCTCTTCCTAACTACGTCATGCAGACCGCGGTCTTACCCTGTCATGTTTGTGATATAATTGACAAGAAGATTAGGGGATTTGTCTGGGGCAGGGAAAGTGGCAAGGCAAAAACCCATCTCGTCACCTGGGAGTCAATCTGCAAGCCTAAGGAGGAGGGTGGTCTCGGGCTTCGATCGGCCAGAGCTCTGAACCTTGCTTACCTGATGAAGCTTGGCTGGCAGTTTCTTAACAATGAAGAAGACCTTTGGGTTAGGGTGCTCCATGGCAAATATGTGAAACACAACGGTGATGGCAGTGTCTCTTTCAGGCAGAATAGTACCTCCAGACTCTGGAAAGGAATGAGGGAGGCTCTGCCCCTTGTGAAACAACATACCATCTGGGATATTAGAAACGGCAGGAGCGTCAGATTCTGGGATGATCAGTGGTTGGCAGCAGGACTGGCTTTGAAAGACTATATCACAAACAATGGGCATGACATTCAAAGGGACCTCTCAGTAGCTGAGATGGTGGATTCATCAGGTGAGTGGAAATGGCAAACTATTAGTAACCATCTTCCTGACCCAATGCTCTGTCTACTTGCAGGTACAGATGCGCCGGTCCATGAAGCAGGGGAGGATACCACTATATGGAGTCTGGAAAATGACGGACAGTTCCGGCTTGGCAGCGCGTACAGAGCGGCGGTGGACTGGTTGCAAGAAGATACAGAGAAGGAAGTTGATGTGAACAACCAACCAAAGTGGATGAATGTTTGGAAATGGCCCGGACCAAACCGCATACGGCACTTCCTGTGGCTGTCCCTTCATGATCGCCTCTTGACAAACTGTGAGAGGAAGCGGAGGAAGCTGTGCGATAGTGATGTGTGCGAGATCTGCAAATCAGAACCAGAAACGGCGGAGCACGTTATTCGAACATGCCCTATGGCTAGACAGGTATGGGATTCACTTGGTATTATTGAGACCTCCCTCACACATGGTTTAAACTTTGCAGGCTGGTTGGCGACAAATCTGAAACGCGAGGAGACAAAGTTGCTGTTCGGGGTGGCGGCTTGGTACCTGTGGAGAAGAAGAAACGAGCTAGTCTTTGAACACAAATTCCAGGAGGCTGGCGTCCTTGCACACCGGATTAAAGCCTGGACGTCAACAATAAAGAGAGCTCAGGACAACAATCAGGAACTTTCCACCGAGACGACGACTACTAAAAGCAGACAGGAGCTTTCTTGGCAGCCACCCCCCACCGGATGGATAGTAGTTAATTCGGATGGCTCCGTTCAGCAACATAACTCGGCGGCAGCAGCAGGGGGGTTGCTTCGCGACCACCTCGGCCGGTGTGTTGGTGCCTTCGTCGCGAATCTCGGCAGTTGCTCCATAACCAGGGCTGAGATCGTTGGAGCCCTCACAGGACTGCAGATCGCTTGGGATCAAGGCCACAGAAAAGTCCTTCTCAGGCTTGACTCTACTGCAGCTATGGACTTCTTATCTTCAAAGGATCATGATAGCAGGCGCTACCACAACCTCACCAGGAGATTTCAGGAGTTGTTGAAAAGAAATTGGGAGGTTCATATCTCTCATTCTTACCGCGAGTGCAACAAAGCGGCTGATTATTTGGCCAATAAGGCCCATGGCTTCAGGCTAGGCACTCATTGTTTTGATATTTCGGATTCGGGTCTTAATTTTTGGATCCTGTATAACACTATGGGTATCACCCAAGATCGTTTAATTTAAGTACCAGGCAGGGGCGCCCTTTTAGCGTCCCATTTTCTACCAAAAAAAATAAATATAGTAAGATTCGATCCAAACCACACAAAAGAAAAACGCGTAGAGGAACCCTTCCATTATCAGTTTACCACCGACGCGGAAACGGGAACGAAAGAAATTCTTCCGTGTATGAAACGGTTTACCAAACACCCCTAGACCCCGACCTTCGAAGAAAACTGAAAAGCAAGTCGTCGTTCTCGCAATCAGCTGCTTTTCTTCTCTCCTATTCTGTTTTCCACCGGCTGTTGTTGCGATCCACCGATCGTGTCCAGCATCTGTTTCTTCGATTTGATTCTCTCCGGTAAGATTTTTCGTAGCACTCTCCTCCCGTGGAGAGACGGCTGATCTCGCCGGAGCCATCGTGCTCTAGGGTTTTGATTTTGATTGTGGTTGTGATTGTACTCGAGAACTACTCGATCGCAATAGATTCTTTTGTTCCCTCAAGCTCGTTGTGGCTTGTTTTTGTCCGTGATAATTCTGTTGAATTCTTCTACTGTGGGTTCTAGTTTTTCTGCTTATTTCCCTCTTTCTGCGTTCTGTTTGTCTGAGAGATCTGGTTTTGATTGTATTGTTGGAGAAGAGTGCGAGGTAGAGATTTAGGGAAGGAAAGAAGAAAGAACAAAATAGAAGAGGCAAATTGTCGAATTGTTGATTCTTTGTCTAGTAGGGGTTCAGGAACTTTTGAAGTTGTGCTATATTGAGTTTGTGTTTTTTTTTTTTAATTATTGAGAGGAATTTTTGGTTCTGAATAATATGGCGGCAGGGCAGGTACATGTTGCGAGAAGAAGAGATTATAATGGTTACTTCAAAAGTGAAACCTACCACCTTAAGAATGGGGCAAGGGGGCACTGTGTCTCCTCTAGAATCAGCAGTTCCTCGAGTAAAAGTGCTGGTTTTAGCTGTGGAAAGGAGAAGCTGGATCATATTAGGAATGAGAAAAATCCCCTCGATTCCTTGAGGCTCGAAGATGGTGAAATATCGCATCCACAAAAGAAGAGGAAGTTTTCTCCCATTGTTTGGAATCTAGAAGACAATGGAGAGGTTTCACCGTCTACTCCTCATTCCTTAGGAGGATGCGGTGACCAAGGAATGAGCACTGATTGTGACAGGAATGACCTAGATGTCACTGTTATTGTTCAGGATCAATATCAAGGGAAGACAGAGGATCTTGTCCAAGGGCGGAACATTTCAATGTCGCGGTGGTCTTTTGACAGTGATTGTTTATCTGATGATGAAATGCCACATAACGAAGACGTGCCAAGAAAAAGTTCCAGTCCATCTTCTGGATTGGTTGAGATGGGAAGTGCTGGAAGTGGTGAAGATGCTCCGAATAAACTGGAGGATGTAGCTATCACTAGTGGGAATGATAGTTGTTGCTTGAAAGAAGTATGTTCTGATGATGAGTCCGAGTTTACCGAAGATATTTTAGTGGCTGATAAAAGAAGGGTGAATATGCTTCAATGTTGTAGAAGTGTGTCAGAGTATGAGAGGCTGAATGCAATTAATGAGGGCACATATGGAAAAGTGTACAAAGCCAAAGATAAGAAGTCGGGGGAAGTTGTGGCTGTGAAGATGGTGAAGATGGACCATGGGGTAGAGGACTACGGCTTTCCGGTGTCATCTTTAAGGGAAATTAACCTTCTTTTTGGTTTACAACATCCTTCAATTGTACAAGTGAAAGAAGTTGTCATGGATGACCGTGATAACGTTTATATGGTTATGGAGTACATGGAACATGACCTGAAGGAGCTTACACAAGGCATGAAACAGTCTTTCAGTACAAGTGAGGTTAAGTGTTTGATGTTACAGCTGCTGGAAGGTGTGATGTATCTTCACGATAATTGGATTATTCATAGGGATTTGAAGACCTCTAACCTTCTACTGAATAATCAAGGTGATTTGAAAATATGTGATTTTGGGATGTCACGCCAATATGGAAGCAGCCCATCAAAGCCTTACACTTCTCTTGTGGTGACTTTATGGTACAGGTGAGTTTCATTTGACTATTATATTTAGCTTTTCGAGAATGTTATTTGTGGCCTATATATGGAGCTAATTTATTTGTCCATGGTATATAATTCAGGGCTCCGGAACTTCTACTTGGAGCAAAGCAATATTCAACTGCAGTGGACATGTGGTCAGTGGGTTGTATAATGGCCGAGCTTTTGGGGAAAGACCCACTTTTCAATGGAACAAATGAGTTGGGGCAACTTAAGAAGGTAGTATAGGATTCTTGTTGTCGTACTCATCTCTTCATTTTGGATTATTTTTTAATGCTGGTGCTAATGAAACTCGGAATGAATTATTGCAGATATTTGGAATTCTTGGCACGCCAAATGAGGATATATGGCCTGGTTTTTCCAAGTTGTCTGCGGCAACACCAATATTTACTCAGCAACCGTGAGTATCTATATATGTTGGATATTTTGAACATCTTTTTGCGTCTTTGTTGTTTGCATGTGCTTTTAAAGAAGGTTTATCTGATCATTCTTTTGGAATACTGATGTCAGGTATAATTTACTTCGCAAGAAGTTTCCTGCTGCATCCTTCACTGGATCTCCAGTTCTTTCCGACTTGGGGTATGACTTGTTGAGCAAGCTTCTGTCCTATGATCCAAACAAGGTAAAATCATTTTATATATCTTCGAAGAGTTGCAATAGCTTTTTATCTATGTATAATATGAGGTATAGCAGGCTGATTCGTGTATAAAATTTTCTTTATGCAGAGAATAACAGCAGATGCTGCCATTGATCACCCTTGGTTCCGCGAGGTTCCGCTTCCCAAAGCCAGGGAGTTCATGCCTACCTTCCCCCCTCAGATTTCGAGGAAGGTTAGGGAGTTGGTCTGATTTATGTCATACAGTTCCAGGATCTCACTTAGTGTGTGGTTGTCACGAAATGTTTAGGTCTTTCCAAGGTCGACAGTGAGCTGCTTGTTCATATCAGAGTATTTCAAGGTGCTTATTGTTGAGTGCTGCTCATGATGGTCATGTAAACCAGCTCTTCCTTGCAATGACATTTTCAAATTGGATAGATGATTCACTTTCTTCGTAACAAATAGTGTTTGAGCTTTTTCCCCACTTCTGCGGTCTGCTCTTTCAACTTGTATCAGCTCTCCATGAAGTTAGGGGTGGGCATCATTGCGGTTCGGACTAAATTCATTATGGTTTGTACATATAATTTAATAAAATTGACTCTGTTTCAGTGACACCAAAACATAGCAGTCCTATAATGAGACTTCCTGTGAAAAATATATTTCATTATTGCCTCATAATAATGGAATGGAAACCCCTTGTATTCCTTCATTCATGAGCAGTCCTATAATGGAAACCCATTGTCCTTCCATTGCAGAAAGTATATTGTTGGATTGTGAAACACAAATTGAAAAGCTGTTGGCAACTGTTTTCGAAGCTACGAGTTACTGGATGAATCCTCTCCTTCTGGTTTGGCTGACTTGTTTGGTCCAGTGCAAGATTCTGCTGCATTAGCTTTAACTCATGCTATCGATGTCTATACCCTTCTTCATGATATACTGTCTCATGATGCACAAATTATGTTGAAGAACTACTTACAGGTAATGCTAAAAGATGTTATCCACTACATCCGAGAGCTCATTTATTTTCTGTTCCGTCATTTCATAATCAGCGGGAGAAGTTTCAAACCAGATGAGTCTCTTTGATTACAGACTGCAGCGAAGAAAAGGTGTTGTAAGCACACGATCGAGACTGACGAATATGTTTCCAGCAATTTCGAAGGCTTCCTCTTGGACTCCATAACTGTCTCGAACGCTTATCTGAAGATGAAAAAATCTGTGCTTGAACATTAGCAAAGAAATACAGGCAGACATCAAAATCCGCAATCAGAACATCTTCCCCAGGCAAGAATATCTTCTCCACTTTAACCAACCATGTCCAATATGAAGATTTTAAGGTCTTGCCTTGTCTTGTTTACTTTTACGTGTAAATTTTTCCTCTTTCATAAACTTCACCCTTTTGCACATTCTCAGAACTCGAGCTCTTTGTTCTGACATGCCCTCTTTTGTGTATTTTCAGCTCCATTGACCTGTCAAACATCTCAGCTGCTGTTTACAGCACGGAATTGTGTAGCAGGCTTAGAAGCTTTCTGTTGGCAGGCCTCCAAGTAGCCCGCAGCCACATGTAAATGAGCTTCTGATAGCAATTGCTGACTCTGAAAGAGACCTTGATTTATGGAAAATCAGGTTTGTTGCCAGGATCAAACACGTAAACTTGTCCAAATCCAATGCTATGGATATAATACAATTCCTTGTTAATTGCTGTTCCTTTCGTGGTATTATTCAGTCCTGTGGAGGGTGGTGTAGAAGCAAGAGGGTTGTTTCACAGCTACATTATTGTGTGGGTGCAAGATATTGAACTGAACTTGCTTGAGCTTTGCAAAGCAGAGAAGGTATAGCCATTCTGATACCTCAGTCTCGTTTCTGATATCTCAGTGTCAGTCAAAAACACAAAAAAGGTATTGGTTTGGCTGGCTGGCAACCCAAAGACAGCAGCATTCATACCTAGATGATCTTTTGCAGGTTCCATGGGCTGGGGTAACAACAAATCAAGCCACTTCTCCTTTTGCTGAAGAAATGTATGACAAAATGAAGGACTATCTAATTGGGTATGAAATGGTGATCAATAGATGGCCTCAGTGCTCTCTGATTCTTGAAACTGTAATTCTAGCTCTTCCGAATCTCAAACCAATAGCATAAAGGATAGAAAACAAAGGATAGAAAACAACCTTAACCAACTGCAAATAACCCTTTTTCTGACTCCTGGAAGGCTGCTGCTAATATGGAACGAGCAATAATTAAGGCATTGGAGAAGCAGTACAGTGACATCTTAACGCCATTGAAGGACAATATCCCCAAGAGGCTGAATATGCATGTCCAGATGCTGACAAGAACACAATCCAATGCACCTTATTCTGCACCCAATCAAGTAAGTGATTCGGATACGGGTTACAAATGTATCTAAGGTTTCTGCATTTGCATCAGCTTAGGAATCTTTCGTTTATGCAGCTGGGAACCTTTTTGAACACGATCAAGCGAATCATAGATGTCTTGCATTGTTGAGTAGAGGAGCTTTTGAGATCCTGGGCCTCCTGCCTTCCCGTGGTTGGAGATAAAAGGTCTTCCTCGGGGAGCAGACGAATGGGATCCCAGTTCTGCTCAAAACCAACTACAAAAATTACTTGCAGGCCACGGTGGAAAAGCTTGTCAACAACGTAAACTCAATGCCTCTGATCCAATTATCGTGACAAGTCATGAGTTATGTTTCAATTGTTTCTTGCCTTGACAATATGTGGTTTCTTCAGATGCAAGCTAATCGTGGCACGAGGCTGAAGAGAATATTGGAAGAGATAAAAGAAGAAGATGGGGAGGCTGATGTTAGCGAAAGAATGCAAATGATGATGTCACAGCTCACCGAAAACATATCCAATATGCCTGGTGTCTTCTCCAGCCGGATATTCGTTGCAGCCTCTCGTGGATTGTGGGATAGAGTGGGACAGGTAGAAGAATCAGCTAACCTTATCTATGTTCTTAAAAAAAAAATTTGCCTTGCTTCCGAAGAAATTATTTATGTCTTGACTGGTAGTTTGTTCATTCATTCTAGATTGTACTTAGTTTCTTGAGGGCAGAAAGGAGAACAGGGTTTGGTAAAATGGCTCCTGCTATGCTCTTGGGGATCCTTGAAAGTTTAGCACTTTTTTTTACTTACCATGTTGCTAAAGAGTGTAATTGATGAGAAAGCTGTGCCCTTGTTTACTTCCACAGATTATGGGCGACATATTTGCTTCCCAGATGCAGAGGCTTCTCGGAAACTCCTGCAAGATAAGGATACAAAGCCGCCGCGATCAGTAATCGAAGCACGGTCAATTCTCTGCAGAGATGCTGTAAATGCAACAGACACTTCTACCTATTTTTTGTCTAGCTTCCCCCAATTAAGACCAAGAAGGGGAAAAATCAATACATGCAGACCTTACTTGTATAGTGAGGCAATGGGTTCATCATTCTTTCATGTATATGTTGCAAATTGATTTGATCATTGATGTATTGTTGACACTATTTTGTAATTCTTCATATCCTTTCATATAGGAACTGGGTAAAAGGTCCCCTGCATTCCTAATCCTTTGATTCCTCAGTAAATTAAGGTTTATACAAAGTGAGTTAAAGAGGTGAGTTTATACAGATTATAAGTGGTAAGCTTGATTCAACCTGTATAGCAATTTCATTTGGCCCTAATTCTTGTGCTTTTATAGGATCCAATTCAATAGATTCAAATATGAGAATCCAAACCAAATCGAATCTATGCATATCTCCATTGATTATGTTCAATATTTCAATTCGAACACAGTTTTTGTAAAACCTAATCATACCGATGGTCTGATAGGAGAAATCATCTATTAGAAGGCAATTTAAGCGACATGGAATAGTTGAACCACGGTTAAATATTGATTCCAACACAATATTCTACTACTAACTTTTCTAGTACAACCTTCCATACGGCTTTACAATCCTTGGTCAAACCATGAGTGGATCAATTCGTTGGCCAAGAAACTAGAAGATCGTTTGGGGAGTGTAACTAGCACCACAAGAGAATCAAAACCAACCAAAAGCCACTAAAGCATGAATGTATTCTTCTACTCATACAAGCTACTAACTACCAAGCCTTTTCAAGACCTAAACAACATAAACACATGTTATAAACGGTTATCTACCTACGGCCCCTTCCCTTGTTGAAGCTGTTTAAGAAGAGTTGCTGCAAGTTCCAATGTCGCCCCCATCCTATTAACATTGCCGGCACCACCATCTTGTGAACCGGCGGCACCACCTTGAACTGCTGATGGAGGTTGATGATTCATTTGCCCCACTGCTGTGGACTGCAACTCTCTATTTATTGCCGTCAGCTGCTGCTGCAGATGCTGCAGTTGACCATACTGAGAATTAGTTTCATAATTCTGCTGGTTGTTGTGCAAGTCTTGTGTTTGTGCCGCCAACGTTCTTCCCTTCCTCGGATCATCGATCACTGATGGTTCTGGATTGCTTCCTGCGAGCTGGCTCTGCTGCCTGAGAAGCGAGGATACTAACTGCGCCAGCTGATGTGGCTGGAGGCCTGGAGGAACTGAAGGCGGTGTCGGCTGCTGCTGAATGGGCATGTTGTTTGATGTTCCAACGGCATAATGGCCCGAGCTACTTTCGCGCATTGCTCCTGGCATGATCAAGTGACAATCAGATCACGAAGCTCATAGATTAAACTCGTAAAATACTAATATTCGTAATAAGTAGGATCTCAATTTAAACTAACCTTGGTGGTGAGAATCATGATGATACACCAGATCATTTCCAGCACCAGACGCCTGCTGCTGCGACATGACAGTTCTACTACGCGGCTGGGGAGGAGGAAATTCATTCCTATGATCAGCGTACAGATTCGACATGTTCCCTCCTTGAGATGGATGAACCAATCCCGAGAATCCAGCTTGCGGCATACCCAAAGAATCCGGCTGGGGAGGAGATGCTGCTTTGTAAGGCATATGAGCATTCCCTTGGAGGTGCAAGTTCGGTTCAAGAGGTGGCGAAACCTGAGGCTCCAATCTTAGGACGACGCCAGAAATGCTCATCTTTCCTGGAACTTTCAGCACTTTCTCTGTGAAATCAGACGGTGGCACGAGGAACAAAGTGGTTCTTTCATCGAGTTTTGCAACGGCTGCTCGTTCCTTCTCGCCGAGGTAGTGCATGAACTCGTTGTAGTGTCCCATTTCAGCATCACTCGCTGGGACGAAGAAGATGACCCAAGCGGAAGGTGCCTGGTAGTAGTGTTTCGCAAGCATGTCGAGGCTTGTTCTTGCTGTGAAGTCCAAGTATCCTGGCCTGTAAAAGCAAGGGAGGGAAACGGGGATCAACACTGGTCTCAAACCGACTGAGCTCAAAACTCTCAAATCCAGAAGAAAGCAATAATGATCAAACTACTACTTACAACATGATCTCCATAGATTTCCCTACGGGAAACGCACGGGCTTGACAAACCAGACTCCCTCCCTTCGCTATAGCCCCTTCCCACTGCCACAACTTCAACGACGGCTTTGGTACTAGAGGTTCAGATGAACCACCAAACCTATTCCTCTCTACAGGAAAAGGTTCCCCTGCCGGGCTCTGCTGAATATCCTCGTAAGATCCCTTCCAGCGATCCACATTCCTCCCAAGACCTTCCGGCTGGTGAGGGAAATCGGTGAACCCCCCTGGAGGTGCACGTCGACTCTCTTGGTCAGAGTAAGGATGATAGTCAGGAAGCTCACGCTCGAAAGATCCCGTCTTCAGCCTCTTGTTAGTGGTAAAAGGATACGAAGAATCTTCTTCGACAGGCAAATCCCACGTTTCTTCCTTGTACAACACGGAACCCCTTCGACCATCTCCCCTGGGCGTCCCACCACGCCTCTCATACACATTTGGCGGCGGTCCTAGTGGTCCTCGCTCCTCGTCGAGCCTCCTCCCACCACCACCATCAGAAGAATCTCCAGGTAAGTGAGGGGATCTCGGCCGCGCTTCATTCCTGGCATAACAGATATGGACGCGTGGGTTACCGAACAGCTTCCCCTGGAGAGACTCTTTAGCCCTGCAAGCTGATGACAATGCTCTAAACTGTACGAATGCATAGCTACGACCAGGGAAAACTGTGATCTTTTCTATCTCACCAAATTGGGAGAAGGCTTTTCTTAGGATCGCTTCGTCGACTTTGAGTACAGATGGGAAGCCTATCCACAAAACTTCACTGGGACTTTGTTGTGTCTGGTCTTCATCACGTGATGACGAAGACTTGTCCTGAGATTAAGAATCTTATAAAAGTTCAGGGAACCAAACAATCAGAGTCATGGAAAACCTGGAAAACATTATTAGATGCTGGGATGGAGTTCTCTGCAGTGAATTATTCCATTTAATTGGCCTTACAAAAAAAAAAAAAATTCCATTTGATTGGTAATTATTAATTAAGGATCGATTTTATTTCACTTGTAAATCTGTAATTTCCAAGATTGTGGTTGTTATGAACTGGGTATCATAATTTAATAGCAAAGTAATTGCTTGGCTACTGCATTATCCATGGGAATCATATATAGGTTCAGGGCCTGTGGGCTGTGGCTGTCACCTGGAAACCCTCAGGCAATACCATTTTAACCAAATTTTAAATTACTGATTTTTCAAGTTTAGGATTTCAATTAACAAATATAAGATTATTGTATAGTGTAGGTTGGATTGGAGTGTCATTAGCTATGATCATGAAGATGCAGATTGGATAAAAGAGCTTCTTTTGCTCTTTGCAAAATTAATCATATGGCCAGAAACTGCTGACACCATTTCGTTTTAAACCCACACAGAAACTTAACATTATCAATTGCTTGATTCAAGCATGCCTGTGTTCGCGTTGTTCGTATCGCGTATGTGTATTAATCATATGTTGTGCTCAGGGATACTGGAATTGGGACCTGGAGTATCAAGGAATGAAAGTGGAATTGCAGGAATGTGGATTAAAGTTCAGTGCTTTTTGTAAACACATTCCTGATTCAAGTTCCTGTTAACTTCATTAAAGCCGAAATCGAATGCGCAAATGGAAGCTTTAAATTGGCTAACTTGATGAACCGAGACTGAGTTCAACATTAAGTATCTGTTATGGATTTGCTTAAGCTTAACCGCCCAGATTAACAATTGTTGGTTCACCATTCTGTTGAACTTTTTCCATCTTAAATTGGCTAGCTTGATGAAACTGTGCACAGATTCACTTCAATAACCAGATTAACAATAGTGGGTCGACCAATGCCGCTAACCATTCAAGCTTGCACTGAGTGCATAAACTGGAGCTTAGATTGACGAACTTTTGAATTTCTGCTAAAGAGTTGATTCAATAACCAGATTAACAGTAATTTATTGACCCATACTTCGATTCAACGCAGAAATTGGATCTTAAATTGGCCAACTTGATGAATGGATTGCTAACCCATCAAAGCTCTGTATCTAAATATGTGGATAGAATATGAGACACCTTCAAAGCAATCAACTTTAATTGAATTCAACTCACAGAAAGAACAAGAATACATACCAACAAAAGAGTCGAACCCAGAAAAAGCCGAAGCAGTAGAAGAAGAAATCACGAAAGCAGCAGAAAGAAGAAGAAGAAGAAGAAGAGGGGCCGCAAAAAGACTAACCGCCTTGGCAAACTCAATCCTAAGAGGAAGCCCGTCGACGGTGAACCCTTGGAGAACTTTGTACGCCGCGATCGCGTCCTCGTCGTTCTTGAAATTGATGAAAGCGTAGCTCCTGCCAGGAAGGAAGGCGACTCTGTCGAGATCGCCGAACTCCAAAAAGTGCCGCGTCAGGTCGGTCTCTTCTATGTTGTGAGATAGATTCCCCACCCACAGGTGCCTCGACGGCGGGTGGCTCCCCTGCCTTCCACCGCCGCCGACGCCGTCCTCGTATCGAGATGTTCCCAGGAATCGGCCCCTGCCTCTTCCTTCTCCGCCGCGACTATTCTACAAGACCAAACGCGAGAAAAAAAATTGAGGAGAGAGTGAAGGGGAGAAATTAAGCTGAATATGAGTGAAGCTACTGGACCGAAGCGAAGGGAAACTCACCATGGGAGAAGGGCAGAAAGCGGTAATGGCGGGCGGGAAAGATTTAGATCTGGTTATGGATTTTGGGAGCTAGGGTTTTGTGGGAGAGAGTGAATTTTTTTATTTATTTGGTAACGGCTGACTCTGACGCAAGTAAAGTGGTGAGAGAGAAGATAGATTTCAATTTGATGATGAATAATACACGTGGCGGCGGGTTCTGGATTCTTGCGCATATTGATCCTTAACCCTACTGGGCGGGACTTGGGGATTGTTTGTTGGGCTGTGTTTGGGCCGATTTATCTAGGTCCATCCACCCTTGCTTCCTTGCTGAGGTTAATCCACCCTCATGAATATGCTATATTTATAACCCGGTCCAAAATCACTCAATTAGATTGCCAAACAAGCTATTTTGGCCCAAATATTTGGACCAAAATAACGCATTCAATTATCTCATCCAAACGACTCCTTAATTAATATTATTACACTTACAACTATTTTCGTATTCTTAAAAACGATGAGGTCTTTAGCATGTGAGCCTTATGTATATTCATGAGAGAATGACCTAATTAAACACTCAAAACTTTTATAAATGTGTTTAGTCATGCCCAAGGTTCAAGAAAGCATGAGGCATAAGGTGAGCATTCAGACTCTATCTCGCTCCTAGCATGCTTAGGCATCACTTAGGCATTCCTGAGCGTTAGATATAAACGTAGCATAATATCTCTCACTCACCAAGAATCCAGGGACGGAGCCAGGATTTGAATTTAGGGGCTGAATTCGCCCCCCCCCCCCCACCCCCAATGACATAATTAAAAAATGCGCATGTAAATTCTTAAAAACTCAATAAATAACCAATTTATGGAATTTTGTTTACAGATTTATTTCAACGAATAATTAACCAATTTACGCTTTTGATCTCTAAAATCCAAGTCACTAATATGTTTATGGATTAGAGTAATATGTTTCTTTTTACTAAAATGTAATGAAGAATTCATTTTTCAAAGAGTTATGATGTTTTTAGATGTATTTATAAAAATTAAGTTTATATATGTCAAACATTCAAAACAATTAACATGACTGCAGGTGGAACTGCTGACCTCCCGCTCAGATTTGTGTAGGTTAAGTCAACATACTTACCACTTAGTCTGCAACCTCGATCATCATTTGTCTACATGCAATTTACAAAGATTTTTAAATCGGGGGACCCTTGCCAACAAGCTGGCTCCGTCCCCGCTAGAATCACAAGTTTATGAACCAAATTCCATCACATCTACCTCTCATTTCTAAACTTTCATCAACAATACATGGTAAAACATAAAAATATAGTGTGTAGAAATGAGTTACACTACAGGAAAATTAGTTTTCAGTCACAGAATCTTATTCACGGGAACTGTTACCATACTAAGAAGTATACTAACCATCACAGGAAAATTTACCGTAATTAATTATATATTTATTGTCACGGGAATTAATTTGTTTATTTTCTAATTTTTATTTCCCGTGATTAATTTTTGTTTCCGTGAACAATGTAGACTTGAAAAAACTTTCCCCAAATTTGAAGAGGGAAAATTTCATTTGCCTCCAAAATTCTCTTTGGAGGGAATACTTTTTGGACTTTTGGCCGTCAAATTTTGTTTGGCTCCAAAACTTCCCCAAATTGACGTGCCTTCTTTCCTTTTCAGTTTCACAATTTCCCCCAAAAATGAAACAATTAATGGTTGCCTCTACAATCAAAGCAAACTCTATTTCAAAAAGAAAAAAAATAAATCGATCAGTTTAGTTTTGTTTCCTCCCCTTCTCCCCTGTCGATTCCCCATCGGCCACCACTTTGTTTGTTCTCGCCATCGCTTCGGCCTCTTCTCAATCGTCGATTGCCTATCTCTTTAGAAACCCTCTTACCCTTTCACTACCGCACTCCATTTCAGGCGACTCTAATTTGACACGCAATCCTCGGCTCCCCAGCCACCATCTCTAGTTTCTACCTCTTCAGATCTTAAATTTTCCCGATATCCCTCTCCAGATCTTTCCTTGTTCCCGCCCGTCAGTTCGCTTCTTCGTCACCGTCCATCCTGGCGTGCTTCACCTCTCTACATGCTCTGAACCTTTCCAGTTACCGCAACCTAGGGGGTTGATTTTCTTGGAGGCCTTTCAAGCAGAGGAAGGGTTCTGTCCACCCCTCTTTTGGACCCAGCAAACCGCCCGCACCTCCTCGCCGCTTCAAGCTGACTTCAGGTCTCTCACCACCACCGTTGCTCATCACCATCCCCAAAACCCTCTCTCCGTTTGGTGCGATGCCTTCAACCCTTAACTGTTTTTAGAAGTTTGGGATTGATTAATTAGTGGCCACAAAAAGTGTTTCGCTTATTATAGTTCTAATTGATTACTTGGTGGCCTCAAAATGGTGGCCTATGTCTCTTGTGCTTGGTTCAACCCGGGGGCCTTTTCCTCTGGATATGCTGCATTGATGTGGCCAATGATAGCACCAGTTGCTTTTATGGTCTATCTTCCCCCAGAGTAGCAGTACATGGGTAGCACCAATTGTGAGAGCTCTTGTAGGTAACAACAATCAACATTATTTGCACCCGAAGGGTTTCCATTAGGTGTTTGGATGGAGATTTTCCACCAATGCCAGTAGGTATAATCAAGCTTCTGCGTTTTCTTTGTCGTGGCGCAGCTATAAAGTTTAGGGTTTGAATATCAAGCTTGTTTTTCCTCCTTTTATTTTGCAGGACACATATAATCGATATCAATATCATGCTTGTTTTTCTTTTGTTATTTTGCAAATTACCTTTTGCTTTCACTAGTAGAGAACAACCTAAGGTAATGCTTTTTCTTATACTGAAAATGGTCGTTTGGTGTAATTGTAATGTTTTGTCTATTGGTTTCTTGTAGCTAGGTAACCCCACGAGAACAAATCACTAAACCAATGCCTGTTCCAACATAGTGAAGAAGGAAAATGGCTAGGGTAACCTTTATAACTACGGCGTAGCATAAGTCATCTTTGTAAATCAGTAATAAACTCTAGTTAATCCATCCTAGACAGACAGCCAAGTAAGAATAGATGACCAACTCCTTTTATGATTTCTCAATTGGCAGTAATTGAGATGCATTACTGATTGCTCTGTTTTGCTGGTAATTGATTCAAGCTTCTTTCTTTTTGTTTTCTTGTTCAGATTAATACTGCACTGCATGTACTTATCTAATCGCTCACTGAAAAAGTTGCAATGGTACAAGTTACTATCCAAGCTCTTAGATATGTAGTATTTTTATTACTTTTCTGTTTAATTTGATATCTGGAACTTTCTTGTAATGGCGTTTGAGCATTACAACTATGGATTGATTTGACTATGACAATTGACATTCTTACTTGAAAAGATTACCAACTAGTGTTTTGTCTTATGTGCTTTGATGCTTAATTTAACTTGTTCACACGCTCATTTCTGCGAATAAACGTAAGTCCTAGCTAGTCTTGAAACTAAGTACTGCATTTTAGTTGAAACATGATCATCTTCTTTCTACTGTTCCCTTCTTTGTGTTGCAGGTGTCAGCTTTGTAGCTCTTTCCACCAGTGAAACTTAAGAAAGTTGTAATTGAAAGTTGTTCAACCTTATAACTATATGTAATTTTTGTATTAGTGGGAAGTAAGAAAATTATTCTGGTTTGTAAGATAATAAAAATGTGCATTCTTTCAGCATTCATGGATCTATCGTCGGTTGTGGTTCTTATGATAAACTATTTGTGAGTTGTGGTTCTAATGATAAACCATGCCACTACTTAAATTATAGTTTCACAACTGATTTTTGGGATGATTCAGTGGCTGCTAGTTTTTGGGATTGTGTATCTGTAGTTTGTTGAGTCTCACTTTTACTTGAACTACAGTTTCATGACTGATTTGTGTTACCAAGCCTAGATTTGAAACTTATAAAAATGTGTCCTTGAAGCCGCTGCATTTTTTGTGGTTTCTGAATTCTGATTGCTTTTGCTCTTTGGTACAGAAATCTTTGTAAGCTATAATGCTCTGCAAAAAATTTGGTAATTGTTACAGGTAGCAATCCTACTGTGTAATGCAGTACTATTGTGTTCTTAGAAGATGAGAAGCTTATGATATTTAGTTATTTGGTCTCATATGCATTTCTTTTGTAAGTTCGCTTCACTGTATCTCTGCAGCAAACTTATAGCTATTGGGGTTGATAACATTTTCACTTTGATATTGGTTATGTTTGCAGATTGTACCAGCATCTATGTAACAGCAGCAACAACAGCAACAACAGTCCAGCATTGTCGAGGGACTCAGAATGCTCAGATCAGTTAGCTTAGGCCACCAAAATAATTAGATATGTAACTAGTTTTTTGTTTGGTAGGAGTTCATGCTACATAAATATTAGTCTTTTCAACTGTATTTTATTTAATATATTGATGAATAATTGATATTGAAACAAGTAATATTGACAATAATATTAGAATTTGATGTTACAAGTTTTTTTTCCAATTGTATATTAATATCTATAATTATAGATTTGTGAATAGTATATTGTAATTAGCTATCATAAAATATGATTACTAGTGATTAGTATGTAATCATGGGAGAATTGGTCAAATACCGTGACAAGTGAAAGACATCTAGTCCCAGGAAAGAATTTTGTCACGGTAAATACCGTCTTAAAAGAAGCACATACCGCCTTTAAATATTTTTTCACTTGATATATGCTCAAACATCTCACATTGACCATGGTTTTTCATGTGATTAAAAGGTACCAATTATCATGGCAAATTATACCGTGACTAGTTATCTAGTCACGGTACAAGTTTCTCGTGACCTTTACAATTAGACACGGAGGTATATATTACAGCAATTTTCCTGTGACTAAAACTATTAAACACGGGAAACACACTTTCAAACACGGGATTTCCCATGATTGAAGGATCTTTTTCCTGTAGTGTTAGAAAGAAGCTGGAAAATAGTGAAGCATATTGAAATGAAGAAGCACAAAAATGAAAGAAGAAACTACTCTTTATGGTCTTCTCTAACTGTATCCTAACATAGCTATAGAGAAATCAAGACTGTCCTCCCTAGTAGCATATCAAAAGGTAGTAAAAAGAGATCGTGACATCATTTTGATGCGCAACTCAATGCTGACTATGTGCCACCGAAGTCACAACGTGATTGTGACGCCTTCTCTACTTCATTTTTCCAAGTAGAGACGTTTCCTTTTGACTTGCCCCAAGACAAGCTTAGGCAAGTATCTAGGTGCTCTTTTTAAAACCATGGTCATGCCACAATGATGTCTCATTTATTTGATCTTGAGTCATACCTTAGGTAGAGGTTTCCAACGGTTTTTTTTTCTTCTGTGACTTATATTTCTTTGCGTAGGATTTATGTGAAGATTTGTCAACCCAAAAATTCAAAATGAGTTGTCTTGTACAATGTATACAAGCTTATATTTTTCAAATTTGGACAAGTATCAATTAATAATTCTTGATGTTTGGACTAACCCTCAACCAAAGCAATAAAATTATTTTTGTGATATACGCAGTGGATTTGTACTACATACTGTACACAAGACCACTTGAACACTAAACTGGAAGTGGTTATTGATATTTTTTTATAAATTAAATTAATAAAATAAACATATGGATATTTTACATACACTCGGAGTTAGGATATGTTGTATATAATATTTTATTAATATATCTATACATCACAAGAGCACTGTTAAAAAAAATCCAAAAATGGTATCATTTAGGGACGATAATTTGAATCCGTCCTGTTGTAGTATGGGACGGGGCATGGGTTTTACTTCCAATCCGCTATGTCCCTTCCCACCTATTCTATCTCAATTTCTTACTATTTTTTCATATTTCTCCTATTTTGACATTTTTCCAACTAGTTAGACTTGATTTTTTAACTAGTTAGACTCAATTAATTATTCTATTATCACTATTTTTCATTCATAGATTGTTTTCCCTTCATTTCATCATAAAAAGTAAATTTTCTGCTTGTATATTTTTAAAATAACATGTAAGAGTGGGTCGACCTGCCCGCTCCGTACCCATGTAGGTATTATCTTCCTCGACCGACGCATGATGCGGGACAAATATGAGTATTGAGGTCATAACATCATTCAGAGAAACCTCTTAACATTATTTAGAGATAATTGAGCATACAAGGACGACGAGCACAAAAAAAGTACATCACTGAAAAACACGTATTGGAAAAAAAAAAAAAACGACAAAGAGATAACAAGATACAACCCAAAAATGAAATCTATGTGAAAGCACACCAAACTAAGAATAGGCAATGCAAAAGACAGGAAACACACACCATTAACTTCTACATCATCACAAGGTTTTGAAAGGTCTCCATAGTCGATTCTGGCAAAGCCACATAAACAACCATATCTCCATAGTGCTCTTTCCCATTGTCCGGGAAAAATATCACCATCTCATCAAACGGGCAACGCTACGGGCGCCATAAAGATAGCGTCCCGCCACCCAAAATCAGTGGTGCAAAAGGGAATCCTGGACCAAGTTGTCACAATCATAGTATGTGCAAAAGATTGCACGCTTCTATGCAACTCATGACAATCAATCAACGATCTAACATTAGCATTTGTAACCATCTTGATTGCATCTTGAACCAACCCTACCGTTGTTGAAAAGGGCTCGTTGTTCAAGTCCTTAGCTTTGCTGATGGTACAAGCCACTACAATTGCATTCCCCAAGTACCCTTTAGGCAATGGTGGATCCATTTTCTCCCTCACATTCACTGGGACCATGAGTTTGGTTTCCTGATCGCTGCCAACCATGTTCAACGCTTTGCTTCGAGCTATCTAAGAAGTAGAAATGAAAGAAGAAGAAAAGGAAGCAGCTGCTAGGTTTAGCTGCTGAATAATTGGAGGGGAAATCTCAGAGGAAGCTGTATGCTTCTCTGTTCCTTTTTATACCAACAGAATTCAACTACAGTAAAAACGGAAATGAAATTTAAAACTGTAATTTAAATGTTACTGTGCCTAACACGTGGCAACAAACAACCGTCCAACACTTAACGGCTAGCTAGTAACGGAGAAGATGGAAACGGCATCGGATTGGACAAATGGTTGCGTATCACTCTTCTTCAACCTTCGTCTTCCCTCTGCCTTGGTTCTTCAGTTCTGCAGAGCAGGGTTCATCAATCTGTTCTAATACTCCCCCACAAGTTGGCGAGTGTATATCCAAAACTCCCAACTTGCTAAGTAGAAATTTCAGCCTGTATCTTGTCATGCCTTTGGTAAACAAATCTGCCAACTGATCTTCTGTTCTGACATGTTCAAGCTTGATTAATCCAGACTTCAACCTTTCTCTTGTGATGTGACAATCAATCTCGATGTGTTTCGTTCTCTCATGAAACACAGGATTTTCAGCTATATGGATAGCTGATCTGTTGTCACAATAAACCTGAACAGGTAGAGGAATTTTGACACCCATTTCTGCAAGCAATCCTTTCAACCACTGCAACTCACACACCAGGTGTGCTAAGGCTCTGTACTCAGCCTCAGAAGATGATCTAGAAACTGTACTCTGTTTCTTAGACTTCCAGGTTATCAGACTGTCCCCAAGTAAGGTGCAATACCCTGTGATTGACCTCCTTGTGTCAGGGCAACTTGCCCAATCAGAATCTGAAAAACCTCTTAACTTCAGTTCACAATCAGATTTAAAAAGCAATCCTTGTCCTGGAGCATGTTTCAAATACCTTAAAATCCTATAGGCAGCCTGCAAGTGCTCACTATGTGGATCCTTCTGGTATTGGCATAATTGCTGGATAGCAAATGTTAGATCTGGTCTAGTGATAGTAAGATAGTGTAATCTTCCTACTAACCTTTTGTAAACTTCAGGATTAGGAAGAGGCTCCCCTTGCTTAGCAGATAGCTTCAACTTGTAGTCAATTGGTGCCAAGCAATCCTTTGCTTCCAGATATCCAGTGTCTTCCAGCAATTCCATACAGTATTTCCTTTGGTTCACATGAATCCCATTTACATCCCTACAAACTTCCAGGCCAAGGAAAAACTTTAGATCTCCAAGATCCTTTACTTTAAATTCTCTTCCCAAGAACAATTTCAATTGTTCTATATCTCCCAAGGAGGCTCCTGCAATCAGTATATCATCTACATACACCAGAACAACCAACATTCTTCCCTGAATTCTCTTGACAAACATTGAATAGTCTGAAGCAGTTTGAGCAAAGCCATTTTTCAACAATGAACTAGCTAATTTAGCAAACCACTGCCTGCTGGCCTGTTTTAGTCCATAAAGAGACTTCTTTAACTTCAGTACCATCCTCTTGTCAGGTAAGTTCATCCCTGGTGGTGGCTTCATGTAGACTTCTTCATTTAACTCTCCATGAAGGAAAGCATTTGATACATCCATCTGATGTATAAGCCAGTCATTAGCAGCAGCTACAGCTAACAAAACCTTAACTGAGTTAATCTTGGCTACTGGTGAAAATGTATCCAAGAAATCTATCCCATAAATTTGAGTAAATCCCTTGGCCACTAATCTGGCCTTGAACCTCTCTATGGTACCATCAGCTCTAAGTTTCACCTTATACACCCATTTACAACCAATTGCCCTCTTACCAGTTGGCAAATAAGCTGGTTCCCAAGTCTGATTTGCTTCAAGAGCATCAGATTCATCCTTCATGGCCTCCCTCCAACACAGTTCTTTACAGGCTTCTTCATAAGTTTTTGGTTCAGTAACAGCCATGGCACTCATCACATAAGTTTTATGTGCTGGTGGGAGTTTGTCAAAAGTGACATACTTATCCATGGAGTACTTGCTAACTGCCCCAACCTTGTAGTCTTTGTGCCAAATTGGCACTGTTCTGATTCTGTCAGATTTCCTTAACTCAGGACCACCTTCTACATCCTCAAATTCAAGTTGTGCAACTAACTCATCCTCCCCTTCATAGTTCACTTCTGAAGACTCTACTGCTTCACCAACAGAAGAAGCAGGCAATGTGTCTGTGGCAGAAGGAAAAGAGGGTGAGGAAGAAGGAGTTGAGGAAGAAGGAGTAGAGGAAGAAGAAGGTGAAGTCTGAGAAGGTATGGAAGAGGAGAGAAATGGATCAGGGGGAATAGGATTATTGGGGAAAATTGGTGTATTGCTAGAATAAGTAGGCTGTGGTGGTGAAGAGGTAGGAACAGAAGTAGAAGAAGAAGGGTCTAAGAAAGGAATAATGGTCTCATAGAAGACCACATGTCTGGAAACAAAGGTTTGATGTGTGTTAAGATCAAAGAGTTTGTACCCTTTGATCCCTGGAAGGAAGCCAAGAAAGACACATTGCCTAGCTTTGGGACTGAATTTGGTTCTGCCTCTCAACAAGGTAGATGCATAACATAAGCAACCAAAAACCTTTAACAGATCTAAGGCTGGTTGTTTATGATACAGTAACTCAAAGGGTGAGACACCATCAGTTACTGGTGAAGGCAATCTATTAATTAAGTAGACTGCATGCAGGATGCAATCACTCCAAAAATGAAGTGGCAATCCTGATTGGAAACGTAAAGCCCTAGCAACATTGAGAATATGCTGGTGTTTCCTTTCAACTCTGGCATTCTGCTCAGGAGTTTCCACACAGGAAAGCTGATGTTCAATCCCAAAAGCATTGTAGAAATCAATCATGTGAGACTCACCCCCCTGATCACTCCTTATAACCTTAACAGTTTTGCTAAACTGGTTCTGAATCATAACACAAAAAGATTCCAGGAGATGAGAAGCTTCTGACTTCTGCTTCATTAAAAATACCCAAACACTGCGTGTATGATCATCCACAATTGAAAGGAAATAAGAAAAGCCATCATGTGACTTAACAGCAAGAGGTCCCCAAATGTCTACATGAACCATATCAAAAGCAGAAATTGCTCTACTGTCACTAATAGGAAAGGGCAGTTTCTTTTGTTTTGCCAAGTGACAGGTTGGACAATGTTTAAAAGAAGTTCTATTACATCCAGTAGCTTGATTCTCTCTGTCTCTACTTGGATGCCCCAGTCTCCAATGCCAAAGGTCTATTTGGTGAGGAAGGAAATTGTAGGTGGTTGCTACTTGGTGGGATGAGATGTCAGGTGTGGATCTTGATGGAAGAGTGAGGTGGTAGAGTCCCCTATCTTGTTTTGCTGAACCAATCAGGTTCTTGGTTGTTTGGTCCTGAATATGACAAGAGTCAGATTCAAATAACAAGGAAATGGGAAGGTCATGGGTAAGTTTGCTAATGGAGACTAGGTTAAAAGTGAAACTGGGAACTAGTAGAACATCTTGTAAAATCAACCCATTTGGGATTTGGACTGAACCTATATGACTCACTTCTACTTTAGAGCCATTAGGCAGATAAACAAACTGATTTGAAACTGATCTAGCTTGTTTGAACACAGCAAGAGTGCATGCTATGTGGTCTGAAGCACCACTATCTAAAATCCAGATTTGGGTTAGGGCCATCAAACCATGTTGAGCATAAAAAGAGAGAACATATTTACCAGCATAGTTGGGTTGAGATGGTAAGTGTTGTGAGACTGAGAATGAGGCATGCTTGATAGAAGGGGATAATGGTGGAGATGGACTCATGCTATCAGGCTGTTGTAGAAGTTGCCTTAACTTGTTCAGTTCTTCATTAGTAAAACTGAGGGATCCAGTTGAAGAAGATTTGCTTTCATAACCAGCACTTTGTCCTGAGGAAATGGAGTCACCACTTTGTGAATCTGATTGGGAAACAGAACCAGCAAATCCACCTCCTTCAGCCATTCGTGCTTTCTTGTTCTTCAACCTATAGCATTCCTCCTTTAGATGACCACTCATCTTGCAATATCGACAGAACTTCCCTTCTCTAGCATTCTCATACTTAGTCTCCTTGTTAGAGTTCAAATTCTTGTTCTGATCAGACTGTCCCTGTGCAGCAAGTGCCACTGACTGAATACCCCTGGTGCTTCTCCCTTTATCACCTTGTAACTTCTGCTCATGTTGTAAAACATCATCCAAAGCAACTTCCACAGCAGGCAAGGGTTTCAGCATGAGTATCTGAGATTGAATCACATCATAGTCTGATTTCAATCCCTTCAAAAACTTAATCAGATAGTCAGTTTCAAGCTTCTGCTTATAAGCAACAACTGCTGCACAAGGTCTAACTCTTACAGCTAGACAATCACATTCAACCACAGGGCTATACTGCTGAATCTCTTCCCATAAACCCTTAAGCGTGATATAGTACTGAGTCACACTCATATTACCTTGCTTACAGGCAGCCATTTCATCCTGCAAGTTAGATAGCTTGATGGCATTAGACCTGCCAAATCGAGCCTTCAATTCATCCCACACAACTTTTGCATTTTCATGCTGTAAAACACTCCTGCTAATGTCTTTATGTACTGAATTCAGAATCCAACAGAGAACCATGGTATTTGAAGCATCCCATAAAACGAAATCAGGATGAGTATGATCAGGCATTGGAAGTGTGCCATCAATGAAACCCAGCTTATGCTTGGTCTTAAGAGCCATTCTTACAGCTCGCTGCCAGGTCTGGTAGTTAGATCCATCCAGGGTTTCAGCAACGATGGATTGGCCTAGGTTTTCACTAGGATTAATGTAATAGGGACTTCCAAACACCAGACCCAGATGAGTATTGTTACCATTCTGCTGTTGACGAGCATCCGCACCAGGATTGTTGTAGATCTGGCCTCCAGCACCACTTGACTCAGCGTTGAAAGTCCCAAATGGTATGGAACCAGAGTTTTGAGAACCTGGTGGAGTTTGTGGAGGTGGATTGTTCGCCATTGCAGACTATGAAGCGGAGAAATGGATCATCGCCGCTCTGATACCATAAGAAGTAGAAATGAAAGAAGAAGAAAAGGAAGCAGCTGCTAGGTTTCACTACAAAATTGGGAAGAATTAGGGACAAACATTGGGGGACGACCATTGTAGTTGTCTCAGGAAATATGAGTTTAAGTAAAATAAGGGACGAGCACTTAAAGTTGTCCCCACAAAATAAGAAAATTGGTTTTATTAATTTTAGAATTTTCGCAGTTGTCCCCAAAAGCAAGAAGTCCGGGTATTGTAGAAAAATGTGGTCTCAATTTTTCATAGTATATTGCTCTCAATTCAATTTTCCTTGCACACTGAATATTTTCCTATATTTAGATTGGCCTTTGGATGAATCACTAAGTATCCTTGCAATTTTTTCCTTTTAGTTTTCCCCTTTCCACATAGCAATTCATGAGCTACCATTCCCAGTCAGTAGTATGTTTATAAAGTGTGTTATTATTTTCCTTTTCATATTCGTACTAACTTATGTTTCCTTTTCATATTTAGATTTTATAGGTCAATTATGAACAAACTGTCGGTTATTTTTGGTAAGAAGCAATTGAGTTTGTAACGGAGTTAAGTGTAAAATAGTTCTATCACTTTCCCAAAAAGATTGAAAAAAGAGGAATTTTATAATGCTATATAGCATTGGTGCTATAGGTTTTTGGGTACAACTTGAAATTGTACATTTAACATTATGGTACAACTTCAGATTGTACCTATACTTTTTGTACAAATTTTTTTATGGTACAACTTAAACTTGTACTTTATGTGATGGTACAACTTCAAGTTGTAAAGCTGTACCATAACATAATGATACAAATTCCTTTATAGTACAACCTAAACTTATACATTTAATTTTATGGTACAACTTCAAGTTGTACATTAAAGCACCAATGCTATATAGCATAGTAGAAGTGCTCTTGAAAAAATTGTACTCAAACTACGAGCACACTAAACTATTATCCTTTGTATAAGTTGGACACTACATAGGTTACCATTAGTGAACGTAAAGACAAAGTCTAAGGAAGAATTGATCGTCCTTACAAGCTAGCTAAATTAGGGGTAGGGATGGCAATGGGGCGGGTTTGCCTAAACCATCTCCATCCCGCTTTCAAATATCTATACCCATACCCGCCTCATACCCATGCGGGGGAAGGTTTTGCAAACCCATCTCCTTACTCATGGGTTTCGGGTATCCAACATTATAATACCGAATTTTTTACATGTACATTTTCAATTATAACATTAAACGCACCTACTATATCATGAAGTCAACAAAGAGACATTCATTTTTAATACGATTCAAAGAATTTTATCCTAAAGCATCCATTAATCCATATCAGAGTAGAGTACAATGTCATCCAAATCATTATTCTCTACGCTAATACATCTATTAAGTAATAATTAACTACATAATTTTGTTAACAAGGGGAAAAAGTGAAAAAGTGAAGGGAAAATTGAGAGAAAGAAGTTAGATTTTGATTTGGGTGGCCACTCAATTGCATTTCTACTATATATTTTTCTAGAGTTATACTCACTATTATTGATAGGTTACAAATTGATTCACATATTTTTCATATATGAAGAAATATTTTTGATGGGACGGGTATGTGTATGAATATGGGGCAGGGAGGCTAAAACCATATCCATCATACAAAGTAACAAATATGTACAACAACTCACCATGAGATAGAATCAGGACCGCATCTACCTTAATCTACCTCTCTAGACTAATTCATCTCAGACGTTCATTTAAATAAGTTTTAATCTCAAGCATCCATTCAACTTTAAGTACGACGGTAACCCTAGCTACATTCTAATCTTAACCCTATTCCGTTCGTTGGACTCTCTGCCTCCTCTTTTTCGTTTAGCGCCGACAATTTTCTCTCCCTCTATTAACCGGCGCTTCCCTCTCCTCTTCAGTAGTGGCCAGGCGATGGTACGACATAGATTAGTTCCTCTTCTTCTAGGTTTTCGGTCTTTAATTCAATATTAGCTTTAGATCTATTATTCAGTTTACATTTGTTGTTTTCTTTTCTTCTAGGCTCGAAAGCGATGATAAAGCTACCGACGAACATTGCAGATGTCGTGACGATGATGCCATGATAATGGTGTTTAGGCAATGATTGCAAATATGTTGGCGGCAAGACGGTGATGAACGACGGCACATTGCAGCGGCAGCATATTTGTGGTGGTAGTTTTTACGTTTCTTATTCTATTTGTATATAACAAGTAGATACATATTAATTTTTGTATTCGTAGGGAACACCAATTCCATTGTATATTCACTACTATAACAAATTCAATGCTAGCCATCAGTTTGGCCTTCTAACTTGCTCAGTTGAGTTCTTGTGTAGTTTAAAAATGTATGTTTGCAAAGAAACTATCTCCATAGCTAGCGTAATATTCCAGTGACCCTAAGAATTAACCCTTACAATAGGGAATATACAACCTACATGAAAACTAGATAGGTAACAATTTTTCGTCCCTACAAGTCTTAGGTGACAACTTGTCGCCTCTAAAGATAGAGTATAGGAGACCACTCGTAGTCCTTGAATAAAGGTTTTGGAGACGAACTTTGGACTCCAATTTGACACCTATAGGAACGACACAGCAACCCTATAAAAAGAAAAGGGGACAACAAGTTATTCCCATATTGACCCAACACAATTATGAAATCGATTATGTGGAACAACAGTTTGTCCCTAAAAATTAGGTTTAGGGGACGACTTATAGTCGCTAAAGTTATAGCTATGGAGACGACATGTTGTCTTTCATGGAAAAAAAACGAGACGACGACTTGCGCGTATCGAGGACGACTGTCGTCCCTAGTAATGGGGACGACCTACATTAAAGCCGTCCCCAAAATAATAGAGGACAAGAGTATAGGGAACCACTTATTGGGGACGACTTAGTCGTCTCCAAAAACTATGGAGACGATTTTTTCTATTTCCAGGGACGACTTTTGTCGTCCCCAAACCTCCTCTTTTTTGTAGTGTTTAGCTGCTGAATAATTGGAGGGGAAATCTCAGAGGAAGCTGTATGCTTCTCTGTTCCTTTTTATACCAACAGAATTCAACTACAGTAAAAACGGAAATGAAATTTAAAACTGTAATTTAAATGTTACTGTGCCTAACACGTGGCAACAAACAACCGTCCAACACTTAACGGCTAGCTAGTAACGGAGAAGATGGAAACGGCATCGGATTGGACAAACGGCTGCGTATCACTCTTCTTCAACCTTCGTCTTCCCTCTGCCTTGGTTCTTCAGTTCTGCAGAGCAGGGTTCATCAATCTGCTCTAATACTATCCAAATGAAAGCTGTAAGGCATTCGAAAGTGGAGCACTTGGAGAGAACTCCATCTTCCATAGCCTTTGATTTCAGTTCCTTTATCGATTCACGGTTGAAATGAAAAACCCTGTGCATCATGTTCTCTTTGGAGAAGTCATTGGAAGCAGATGATGAACTATTTTCTATCTTTGTAAATTCCGGATGATGGAACTCAACCCTTGGTGGATTACGTGGTAGTAAAGAGCTCTTGTCTAAATTTGGAAGAACTGAAATCGACAGTCCTCTTGCGATCTCCGCCCATGAGTTCACCACCTCCATCGCTGCAAAACCATCGCCCATGCAATGAGAGATACAAGTTCCCAATACGAATCCTCCGCATTTGAGCTTTGTCACCTGCAAACAACTTTGATTCGTAAATGCATGATTGAGCTCACATAAATATCGCGATATCAATTTAACATCATATATTGTTTTTTTCCCCCTGAAAAAGGTTACAAACAAGTAAGTACAAAGTTCTGAAGTTGTAAATACGTTCTCCATATAACAAGTTAATATGAATGTTTTTCCTTTTCCACATTGACGATGTGTAAGAGAAGTCGAATAGATTACCTGAGCAACCAGAAGGGGACATTGTGGCAAAGGCTTGGCATTGCCATGAATGCCATCATCGTAAACCAAGTCGATGAGCTTACTCGGGTCAGTCCGCACCATCTCTTCAATATCTTGCATGGCAAAGTTAGGGGCTGGGATCAGGTGACTAAGGGGGGTCCCCTTAGTCACATGGCTAAGTGAATCCTAGCCACTCAACCTCATTAAAATCCAAGGGCTCCTATCAGTCCAATTTAATGAAGGGTAATGTAGTAATTTCATGTTTATTTTTAACTTTTTAATTATAAAAGAAATTAAAAAAAACTGCTTCCGTCCCTTACCTTTGCGTAGCCACTAGCCTCCCGCGCCGCTTTATTTTGTAATGTTTGTACGCTTTGTTATTTTGTAATGTTTGTCGTTTTTTTGGTAATGTTTGTACGCTTTGTTATTTTGTAATGTTTTTCGGGTTTTTTCTTGTAATGTTTGTAAACTTTGTTATTTTTGTGTATCGTGTTTATCATTTTTGTCAACCATGTTTGTAATTTTTTTTATGTCTAAAAAACACCCGGGTTGACTTTGGGAAGGAGCCCCTCTATATAGGGATAGAGCCTCCAAAGTCAACCCGCGTGTTTTTTTAGTTCGTATGGATTGTCGGTAGTCATTTTTGTCCACCATGTTCGTACTGTTTGTATGTCTAAAAAACACCCGGGTTAACTTTGGGAAGGAGCCCCTCTATATAGGGATGGAGCCTCCAAAGTCAACCCGGGTGTTTTTTTTAGTTAGTATGGATTGTCGGTATAGTTTGTCATTTTTGTCCACCATGTTCGTACTGTTTGTATGTCTAAAAAACACCCGGGTTGACTTTGGGAAGGAGCCCCTCTATATAGGGATGGAGCCTCCAAAGTCAACCCGGTTGTTTTTTCTTTTTGTATGGTTTGTATTGTTTGTCGGTCTAGTTTGTATTGTTTGTACAGTTCATACGTTTGTAATGTTTGTAAATCTGTTTGTATGTTTTGTCGCTCTAGTTTGTACTGTTCGTATGTTTGTATGGTTTGTACTGATTGTAAATTCGGTTTGTATACTTCGTAATTTTCCATAATATCCAAACTACCCATGTCATTAATTAAGTAGCCCTTCCCACTTTTTAACCATTGGATTGAAGTGTCTAGATCTAATGGCTAGGAGGGGCTTAGTCAAGTGACTAAGGACCCCCCTTAGTCATGGGATCCTCTCTCCAAAGTCAGCCTCAGCCTCCACGAAAACAACACCTTTCTCGTAGCAACTCACGGCCAACTTTTCTCGTGAGACGACTGTCAGTCGACCCGCCAACGGATAGTAATGAACGAGGAGTTTGCTCAAGGCCGTTTTGAACACTTGGCCGGCCATTTCGTTCCCTCTCTCGTTCGACTTGAACCCGTAAATGGTACGTACCCAACATACAATGTGGTCAAGGAATGAGAGGGAGAAGACACCTTTTCCCTTGATTTCCTCTTGAGGTGGTGAAACCATGATTGGCTCACCACGCTTCACAATGATGTTATTGCAAAATGGCCTACCCATGGTGGACTTTCAGAAAAAATGCTATAAGATCTGTGTTTACTATGGAAGAAGTTGGATGTTATAGCTAGTACTAGGGGTGGCAGTCGGTCGATTTCGGTTTAACCGAAAACCCGGTTATCGGTTAAATCGAGCCATCCCCTATAACTACCGACCACCGACCGTGAGGTGTGTCACGGTTAGCCGGCCAACCGACCGGTCGGTTTCGGTTTTAGGCTCGGTTAGCCGGCCAACCGGAAAACACCTTATTCACAAAAAAACAAAAAAGCTGCACCACTCAATCCTAACCCCTCACTTCTCGATTCTTCTTTTCCCTTTCCACAGAAAACCTATCTCTCCCTACTCTCTCGATCATCTTCTTCCTTTCCAGAGAAACCCGCCGCCGAGTACGCCTCCACGCCACCGCTGCCGCTGCCGCCGCCGAGTACGCCTCCACGCCGGCCCAGCTCCAGGCTCGCCACCTCCCGGACCACGCCGCAGCAGAACATCGACGAGGGTTTTCACCGCCGCTGTGCGTCTCGGGAAGGCGGCGGTCGGCGGTGCCGACGAGGGTTTTCACCGCCGCTGTGCGCCCTCAGGCCTCAACCTCCCCTTCGCTTCATGAATCAATCCGATCACGAGAAGCCGTTTGTGAGCCCGAGTCGGCGCCGAGCAAGGGAGGAGGCGGCGGGTGCAGGGGAGGCGGCGGGGGGCGCCGACGGCGGGGCTGGGGGCGATGAAAGGGATGGTGCATGATGCGGCGGGCGCAGGGGAGGCGGCGGGGGCGCCTTCGATCTTGCTGCCGAAGGTGGAGAAGAGGTCTGAGAGGCGGCGGGCAGAGGTGAGGGTTGAGGGAAAAGTGGAGAAGAAGGCCAGCAGTGCTAGGGTTGGGGGGAGTTGGCCTATTTAAGAGGTAGGCAAAACTACGTCGTTTCGTCTCGGTCGGTTAGCGTCGGTTAGTCGGTTAACCGGCTTCGGTTTCTCGGCTAACCGCTTGACCACTGATCCCTTCCGTCAACCGACCGTCCCTCTGTTTTTTCGGTTTCCGGTTAGCCGCTAACCGGCGGTTAACGATTAGACCGGCCGGTTAACCGCTAACCGGCAACCGAAATGACAGCCCTAGCCAGTACTGTTATTTTCTTCAACTTTGAAGTCTGCTTGCTTATGATGTTAGTGAAGCCAGGTATATATACTGAGAAAGCTGACTATATTTGGCTATGCATGTCAGTTCAATTTTTGACTATATTTGTTTATGGAATAGAATTAAAAATCGTTACATTTGAGGACTTGGTCATGTGGAATACTTCACCTTGGTACGGATTATTCTTTTTGGCCGAGCAGAAAGGGTGATGGATTATGCGTAACATGGGAAGAAAGAAGAAAAGGGTGCCTACGTAAAGACACGTGCATGGGAAAGAAGGAAATCGGCAATAGAGACGCGCCATTTGTGATTGGTGCATACGCCCTCCTAACGCTTTGGACATCTCCAACTCGGTCTCAAATGAGCCATGGAATTAAAATGCGTGTTTGCCATAATCCAAATTTGAGATGGATTATGCGACAAAACAGGAAAGAAAGAAAAAAGAGGCGCCATAGTTGACTTTAGCTATATGCCAAAGACACAAAGACAAAGCGGGGCGAAGGGGTGGGCACGTGGGTGGTTAATCCGCGGATTGATATCGATTCACCCGCAAATAATCCGACCCGTATGCAATGGATGATTGATGTGGGTGGATTGAGGATTGTTAAATCTTCCACCCGCACTTATGTGGGTGGATGGTGGGTGGATTGCGGGTCACCCATATGACCCGCATCCTATTTTTGCATGGAAAAATGTTGTTTCTTATAGTATCTAATATTCATCATATTTTCGAACTGCACTACAGTCGGACTATATACTGCAAAAGATGGAGAATAAAGAATAGTTTTGACTACTATTATTGGTTATTGTGTTGTGCAATATCCATTGGCAGTGCATATTGGTATGCAAATTATTGTTAATATCCATTAAATATTGGGATACAAACTATAAATTATTAATTGTATCAAAATCACAAATTATTGATACGATCTTACTAATGTGCTATGAACTTATTATAAATGTTAGTCAATTTTCTTAATGGCTAGTTGGAGAATTGATTTTGCGGGTTAACCCGCCACCCAATCACACCCATCTGCCACCCACCCAACCCAACCTGCATAAGTATGTGGGTAGATTGCGGGTCATATATATTCCAACCCGCTAGCAAGCGGGTGGGTCAATTTTAGACTAAAATCCACCCAACCCGCCCATTGCACACCCCAAGTATGTATTTGCGATTGGGTGTTTGTGGACGATGGACAGGGGTGAAAGACATTTCGGTTCGGTCTAGAGTGGATTAACTAGGGTTTTTAAAAGTGTATTGGACAAATCAGCAACTGGAAATTGGATTGGATGAGATTCGATTTTAACCATGACCAAATTGGATGAGATCCAGTTCGATCCGGTTTAAACCCAAAAATTGGGTTGCAATCACTCAACTCCCAAATACGATGTCGTTTGAAATAAATTAGATAAAAAAATGAGAAAAGACATCTCTGCTTTGGTACTTCCTGCACTCGATCCTCTCTCAGTCTCTCCACATACTTCTCGATCTGCCTATCTGTTCTGGAAAAGCACAATTCCCTACTCTCTTCTTCTTTCCCTATCTTTCTTCCATCTACCTTTTCTCCTCCCTGGAACCCCTCTCATCTTGCATGCAAACCCAACATTCACCTAACAAAAGAAAGAAGTCAGCTATACTCTCTCTGTTTCTGCCTTCTGGTCGTGCTATCGATCCCTTGGATTGGAGAATGGAGAGGCAAAATCGAACGATGAGTGGCGGAGATCGTTTCTCATTGCCGGCCAGACGAGTTGCCTAACTGGAAGTTGGAGAGCGCCTTACCTCCTCGTCGCCGTTGCGTGTAGGGGACTCAGAGAGCTCCTTCCCCCTTCAACGGCGTCGCCATTGAGAGTGGATTAAGGGAGGCGGGTGACAGAACCAGTTGGAAGAATCGACCTGGAAGCATGAAGAGAAGAGCAGGCTTCTGTAATCCTTGTTGCAGAAGGAAATGTAGTTGAGAAGAAGAGAAGAAGAGAAAGGAAGAAACGGCAGCGTACTGCTGAGAAGGAAGAACGAAGAGGCGAATACGGCGTCGTCTCACTTAGTCGTTATTAGCGGTTTTAAGTTTACTGTTTGTTTAAATATTCTCCAATCATGTAAGGACAAGTGTCTCGCCCTGTTTAATTACTCTGTCTAGTATAAAAGAAAGCAGAGGACTCAGAATCATTTGAGCTCCTCCTTCCAAACATTCTGTAAAATCGTCATGGTATCAGAGCTTCCACCGCTCTAGGGTTTTTCCGCAAGACGACAGGATGTCAACAGGGCAGACTCCACCTCAGACGCCGCCGAACAATGGCACCAACGGCAGCGGAACAACGTCGACAGCAGGAGCGACTGGTGGGTTTCGATTTGGCACTTTCAACCAGAACCAACTACAATCTGAGACAGTTGTTTTCGGTAACCCCTATTACCTTAACCCAAATGAGAACATGTCTCAGTCTCTGGTTGCTGAGCCTTTTGATGGAACCAACTATCTAATGTGGAGTAGATCTATGCAAGTTGTTTTGAAAGCTAAAAACAAGCTTGGGTTTATAGATGGGTCAATTCCTGTGCCTCCCAGAGATGCAGATCTGTTTGGTTTGTGGGATGCCTGTAATACAGTTGTTTTGTGTTGGATTCAAAACTCCATGACTAAGGAACTTAGGAGATCTATATTGAATCACAACAGCTCTAAAACACTGTGGGAAGAACTAAAGAGGCGCTTTGGCCAACCCAATGCAATGAGGATTGTTAATCTTGAGGATGAAATCCAGGCCTGCAAGCAAGGGTCTAGATCTATCACACAGTACTACACTGCTATTAAGGGACTATGGGATGAATATGTCGAGTTTAGTCCCATTACACCTTGTAACTGTGCACCTGGGAACCCTCTTCCTTGTGCAGCAGTAGCTGCTTTTGTGCAGAAACAAGAGACAGATTATCTCATACGTTTCTTAGGAGGACTTAATCCGGATTATGAAGTTATCAAGACTCAACTGCTAGTGCAGAAGCCACTTCCTTCAGTATCAGCTGCAGTGGATGATCTGCTTCAGCATGAGCAAAAGCTGAAGGCAGATTCAGCTGGTAACACCAGGAAGGGACAGAGCTTGGCCTTAGCAGTGGGTGGTAGTAATACAAAGGATACTTCAGAGTCAAGAGGAAATAAGTTCTGTAGGTTTTGCAAGATGAACAATCACAACATAGAAGACTGCTGGAAGTTGAAGAGGAAACAGGAAATGCAGGAAAAGGGAGGAGTGAATGGAAGTTCAAACTCCAGTTCAAGTTCAAATTCGAGTACACCAAGGTTTGCTGGCTCAATCTCTCAAGGAAGTGGGAATGACAGTGCTTCAGAAGGGAGTGTGGTCAATGAGGGTAAAAGTTCATCTTCTCTTGCCTTCACCCCTGATGAGATGAATCGACTCAGGTTTCTCTTGCAGACTGGTGCTAATTCCCAGCCATCCCCACCTACCTCACCTTCCTTGAACCATCAAGCCTACTCAGCTACCTTCCATTCTCCTACCTTCCCAAATTTTTCAGGTAAACATGTCCTGTCTTCCTCTCCAACCTCTTGAACAACCAACCCTCACCTATGGATTATAGACACAGGAGCCTCTGCCATATAGCATGTAGCCTTAGTCTCTTTGCTAGTTATAAACAGGTTCAGGACTCATTTGTCTATCTCCCAAACAGCTCCAAAGTAACTGTTACACATGTAGGCATAGTCAAATTAGCTTGTGGTTTGAGCCTGCATGATGTACTTTTTGTCCCAAACTTTTCATTCAATCTTATTTCTGTTAGCAAACTTACACATGATTATCCCTTTTCCTTACACTTCCACTCTGACAAATGTGAAATCCAGGACCTACTAAACCAGAAGAAGATTGGTTTAGCCCACACAACTAGAGGACTCTACCACCTAGCCTTACCTCCAAGCTTCACCAAGTCTTCCAACATTGCTCATCAACACCAAGCTGCCTCCACCTTCAATTTTCAACCCCAAGACCTGAACCTGTGGCACTGGAGGCTAGGACACCCTAGTCATGATAGGCTTTCCTTGCTTAGTTCTGTAATTCCTTCTATTTCCAAACCTAAAACTGTTCACTGTGATGTATGTCACCTGTCTAAGCAAAGAAAACAACCATTTCCTATTAGCACCAGTGTTGCACCTGAGGTTTTTCATCTAATGCACATGGATATTTGGGGACCATTTTCCACTGTTTCTTATGATGGTTACTCTTATTTCCTTACCATTGTGGATGATCATTCTAGAAGTGTGTGGGTATATTTGATGAAGCATAAGAGTGAAGTAAGGGGTCTGATCCAAGGCTTTTGTAGTTTGGTAAAGAATCAGTTCAGTACTGCTGTGAAAATCATCAGAACTGATCAAGGAAAGGAATTTGAAATGTGTGAGTACTTTAAAACAGAAGGGATTGAGCACCAAGTTTCATGTGTTGAAACTCCAGAGCAGAATGGCAGGATTGAGAGGAAACATCAGCACATACTAAATGTTGCTAGATGCTTGAAGTTCCAATCATGACTCCCTCTCACCTACTGGAGTGATTTCATATTACATGCTGTTTACCTAATAAATAGGATACCTACTCCTATTTTAGAGAACAGAACCCCCTATGAAATTCTCTATAAGCAAGTGCCATTTCTTGGGCACTTGAAAGTGTTTGGCTGTTTGTGTTATGCCAACACACTATCACATGGCAGAACCCAATTTGCTCAAAGAGCTAGATAGTGTGTCTTCTTAGGGATACCTGCAGGGATCAAGGGCTATAAAGTCCTTGACATACATGACAAGAGAGTGTTTTTCTCTCGAGATGTCTCTTTCTATGAGAACATTATACCTTTTAAAACAACAGACACCAACCTCCCCTCCCCTTCTTCTTCTTCTTCTATACCTCCTTCCACTTCTGTTCCAGCACCCCCCCCCCCCCTCCATGTTCCTTTTTCTGTTTCACCACCTGTTCCCCCTTCTGGTTCAGTTTCCCCTCCTGCTCAGTTTCATTCATCCACAGATGAAGGGGGGCACACTGAGCCTGAGGTGCTGACTGAAGGCAGTGATCATTATACATATTATGATGCAGATGAGCAAGAACTTCATCCTCAGGCTGATGTTGATCCAGATGACCCTGATACTCTTGCCACCAGGAAATCTTCAAGACACATTAATCTGCCTACCAAGTACAAAGATTATCAACTAGACCCCACACTCAAGTTTGGTGCTTTTGGAAGCAGCCAAGCATGCAGTAAGCATCCAGTTTGCTTAACTGTCCATTCATTGAGCAAAGAAGACCAGTGTTATGCCCTTAATGTATTGAATCTTGTTGAACCAAGGTCTTATTATGAAGCTGTTAAATCTGATGTATGGAACATGGCAATGAAGGAAGAGATGCATGCCCTTGAAGAGAACCAGACTTGGGATGTTGTTCCCTTACCTGAAGGAGCAAAAGAGGTGGGAAACAAGTGGGTTTATAAAATCAAACTGCACCAGGATGGATCTCTGGAAAGAAGCAAGGCAAGGTTAGTTGCTAAGGGATACACACAAGTGTATGGTATTGATTTTCTTGATACCTATTCCCCTGTAGCAAAGATAAATACAGTGAAGACTTTCCTGGCAGTGGCAAGTGTAAAGCATTGGATACTTGAGCAGCTTGATGTCTCCAATGCATTTTTGCATGGAGATC